CACACACACCACACGCACCACAACACACATACACAACACACACACACAAATACACACCACATGACACACACAAACACCATGCCACATACATACGCTATACCTCCCAGACCACACGCACCACAACATGCACATACATGGTACCAGATACACACCACACACACCACAACATACATACACAACACACACACACAATACAATATAAGTAACCACACACAAATACACACAACATACATACACAACACACACACACACACATACAAATACACACCCCCCGGACACACGTCCCACACACACACCACACACACCACAACATACACACACAACACACACACACAACACAATATACGTACACAACACACACAACAAACACAAATAGACACCACACGACACACACAAACACCATGCCACACACACACCACACACACCACACCAACACATACACATACATACACACCACACACACACCCCTCACATACCACACACACACCACGCCCCACACAGAAATGCCATGCCCCACACATACACTCTACCACATCCACACCACCCACATATAAGCCACACACCACATGCACAGACACACACACCCACCACACACACTCCACAACACACAATGCCCCTCCTAGCTCCTCAGCTTTTCCAGAGAGGTCCACCCTACTCCCATCCTCCCACTATGCCAGGGACCAGGACTTCAGAGCTGCTGACCTGGAGGGACATTGAGTTTTGAACCCTGGGACTTTTAACAAAAATGCAAAACATCTAACCCCTCGATGAGCTCTAACCACAGAACTGCCCTATAGCTCTGCCCAGGTTAGATTCCAGGGGACTCAGAACTATGGGTGAAAATCCCTCACCTCACCTCCCCACTCCTATCACAGGGGCCAAGAGAGGAGCAATGATGGGCCCCAAATCACCAGCAAGGCAGCGGCCAGGCTCCTGGCCTCCCCGTCCCACCCCACAAGGAACAGGTGGGTGGTGTCACCCACCGCAGGTACCAGGGCTCCCGCATTCCAGGCATTGGGCTTGGCACTTTCTCCTTAGCCCTCCGAGCCCAAGGTCACACGGCAGGTGAATGCCAGCGCCCAACACTGCCCACCAGGCAGCTACCTGCTTGAAAGGGAGAAGGCCAAGGGCAGCCCAGGGGGCAGGTGCAGTTTATCAGAGGGGGCTTGGATTATGCTGATTCAGCTGCAGTCTGGCCCAGAGGACAGGCCCCTGACTGACCAGAGATGATGAGAGGCACCCAGGGCAGGCAGGCCACTGGCTGAGTGCCCCTTCCCACCTCCCAGGACTGCATAACGGCTGCCTGCTGTTACCACAGACAGGCACAAGGTGGCGCCCTAGGTGAGGGTGGGAGGTCAGCCCTCCAGGTGGGCGGGTGTCCCAAAGGAGCCCCGGAGGTTTCCCGATCTCCCACCCAGTGCCTGCCTCCTACCTGCCCCTCCCTCAGGCCTGTTCCAGGGACTTCCCTGGGCTCCTGGCAGGAGAAGGGCAGCGGAGACTAGAACCAGCTCCTTCCAGACTTTTTATAAGCTGCCCCTGCTCCTCAGGCCAGACGCCCATCCAGCACATTTCCCTGGGCCTCTACAGTGTGCCGGGCACGGTGCTGGGACCCGAAATTCCTGCTGTCCCCCTGAGCCCTCCCAGCCGGCCTGCATGGAGGGTCTGGAATGACCCCACTGTACAGATGAGAAAACGGAGGCTCCGGGAGAAGGTATGCACTGCCCCACGGTACCTGACCTGGAAGGGGCCACAGCAGGGTTCAGCACTGGGCAGCTGACCACAGAGGTGGCTATCTTGGCCCCACACTGTGATGCTGCCCCCAAGGAGGCCCCCAAAGGGCTAGTCTGCCTAGGGCCACGTGAATCCATCCTCTGCTGGAAAGTCTGGGGTGGGCTTGAGGAGCGGCAGGGGTCTCTGAGCCCCAATCCCAGGACCCTCAGGCCGTCCTCACCCAGCTGTCACGTTCCCCGGAGGGGCTGGGGCTTAAGGGAAACTTGGGACCCGCGTCCAACCGCACCACACATTGTGAGTCACCTCCTGGCTGTGTGACCTCCGACAACTTGCTTATTAAACCCCTCTGGGCCCAGACTGCCCCTAGGAAAAAAAAGTGAACCCTAATACCCACCCTACAAGGTTCTCGATAGGATAAAATGCCTGGCATGGCCTGGCTGAGAGTGAGGACCCCCTAACCCTCCATAACCCATGGGCCTAGCCCACAGGGTGTGACCCAGGGCGCTGACATGTAAGGGGTGCCCCTTCCTAGCCCAGCCCACCCTGGGCCCAGCATCACCTCTGGCCCGGCACGGCAGGCTCGCGTTCTCTCCCATCACTCTCTCCAGCAGGCCGCTGCTCCCATCGGCCTCCCAGTGCGGCGGCTCTGGGGAGAGATGGCGTGGCCATGCTTACCCCCAGGGCCAGTGGAGAGGGCGTCCCATCCACAACCCAGCTGGGCATGAGGCCCTCAGCCTCGGGGCCACTGGTGCAGACCTGCCTCCCACCGGGTGACCGACGGAGAAGCCACCAGGGCCACACAAGACTCCAGGGGGCTTGGAAGGTGGAGCCTGGCATTGTCCTGCCCTGCATTCCCCTCAAGCTGCAGCTTCCCGGGTTTGTTTTCATTTCAAAAGAGTGTGGGGCGCCTGCGTGACTCAGTCCGTGGAGTGTCTGACTCTTGATCCCAGCGCAGGTTGGGATCTCAGGATTGTGGGATCGAGCCCTACATTGGGCTCTGCACTCAGCACGGAGTCTGCTTGCCCCTCTCCCTCTGTTCCTCCCACCTTCCTCTCTTAAATAAATAACATCTCTCTTTATTTTTTATAAGATTTTATTTATGAGAGAGAGAGCGAGAGAGAGCATGCACGCACAAGGCAGAGGGAGAAGCAGGCTCCCCACTGAGCAGGGAGCCCGCCCCACTGGGCTCGAGCCCAGGACCCTGAGATCAGGACCTAAGCCAAAGGCAGATGCTTCACCGACTGAGCCACCCCGGCGCCCCATAAATAAAATCTTTAAAACCAAGTTCATAATAGTGCAAATGAGGCACCACCGATCCAGACCCCTCGGGGCACCAGGCACTTCACACACATTCTCTCACTGACTCCTCACGTATTATTGGGCCCATTTTCCAAGGGAGAAAACCGAGGGCCAGAGAGTGAAAATAAATGGCCCACAGTTGTTCATCTGGAAAGTGGAAGAAGCCGAGCCTCGGTCTGGGCACCTGCTCTTTGATCACGACCCCGTGGCACCTTCTGTCCACGCCAGAGGACAGGGTACCCATGGGGCTCCCTCACGCAGGACAGCCCCACGGCCTCAGGGGACCGGAGGCTGGGAGGTAGGGGTCACGCATCCCAGAAGCCCAGGCTGCTGTCGGGGGAGGTGGGGAGTGGAGAGTTCCGGGGTTCAGGGGAGACTCACCCAGCACCCAGAGCTCCAGCTCCCAAGCATCCACACCAGCACTGTTGAAGGCCTCACAGCGGTACAGGCCGGCGTCAGAGGTTTGGATGGCAGAGAAGTGGACAGAGCCCTCAGGCCCCACACCCTGCAGGGCCACCCCGTCCTTGGACCAGTTCAGCCGAGGCTCTGGGCTGCCCTCGGCCACACAGTTCAGGTCCAGAATCTCTCCCACCAGCACCTTCAGGACACGTGGGCCCAGCTGCACCTGAGGGGGCACTGACAGGGCCCCGGGGAGGGGCATCAGGTCGTGGGGCCCCAGGTGGGGGTCGCAGAGCCCAGACCCCTCGAGAGGGCCTACCTGCCCTCCCTTCTGGATATCACCAACCAGCAGAAATCACTATGGGGGGTGGCCTAAGGCTGACCATTCCTCATTCTGTCAGGAAAGGACAACAGGACACCCCATGTGGACGCCCCCCCCCAAAGTGAACAGAATCTGGCCTTTCACCTGAACACACGTGCTCTCATCACAAAATCGCTCTTCCGTGCTCGGCTGCTTTCTCCCCACCTCCACCTCCCCCATCCCCCGAGCCCTCTCTGCCCCTCACCCCCCCGCCCCCACATCTTCCCACCCCTGGGATGGGGAAATGTAGGTGTTCATTTCTACCACATTTGCATCTCCTCCATCGCATTTGGTCTTTCCTACAGGCAGGTGATATCACGCCCATTTTGCAGATGAAGAAAGTGAGGCTCAGAAGGATTATGTGATTGACCAGAGTCACCCACTCCCTCAGCTGGTAGGAGCTGGAGCCTGCCTGGCTCTGTCCGACGCGGCCCCCCAGGGCCTCGATGTCCAGGAGCAGGAGGGTGTACATGCCCCGCCCACCCCCATGCCAGCCGAAAACAATAGCAGCCTTCCCTGTGCCGAGCACCCCCTTCTGACAACCATGGGATGGGCATTACTGCGGCCCCCGCTTCACGGAGGAGGAAACCAAGGCTCAGAGAGGCCAAGGTCACATAGACAGTCCGTGGTAGAGGCAGGATTCAAATCCAGTCCTCCCAACAACTCTGAGGCCCTACTCGTCACCCAGCCCCCCCACTGCCACGTCTCTCAGACGCTCATGCAAACCCACAGCAAACCTTTGAGCCCCCTCCCTCTCTGAGCCTCAGCCCATCCACCTGGGAAATGGGCTGCTAGCTTAGATCAGGGGGCGCTTTTTCCATAAAGGGCAAGAGAGTAAATCTTTCAGGCTTCACAGGCCAGATGGTCTGTCTCTCAGCTACTCAACTTGCCACCATGGCACGAAAGCAGCCAGAGACCACACGTAAATGAGCGTGTGAGGCCGTGCCCCAAGAAAGCTGGTTTTATGGACACTGAAATCTGAATCTCATGTAATTTTCACATGTCACAAAATATTATTTGGGTTTTTTTCCCCCAATCATTTAAAAATGTGGACACCGTTCTTCACTGGTGGGCCATATGAAAACAGGAAATGGGTCAGATGGGGTCCAAGGGCCAGAGTCGGCTGACCCCTGTCTTCAGTAATTCCCTGGGGCTTTTGGAGACAAGCTCCCTGCCTTTTTGGTGGAGTGACTCCACGGCTGGCTTCTGTGGATGGGACCTGGACACCCAGGGGAATGTCCACTCCTGGGGCCCAAGCCGAGCCAGGAACCAGAATCCCTTCATGGGTCCCCCTCCTGACTTCTAAGCCTCTACCGCCCTAGGCCTTCGCTGGGCCTTGCCCTCTGTTCTCAGGGCATCCCAACCAAGGGTACAGGAGAGAGGAGAAAGGGAATGAGGAGAGACAGGGCTGAAGGAAGGCAGGACGCGGAGGGGAGGGGAGAAAGCACTGGAGGGCCCCCATGAAGAGGTGACAGAGCCCAGCCTGCAGAGAGGAAAGGGCACGAAGAAGGCCTGAGAAAGACAGAGGGAAGGGCGGGGCCGTGGGCGAGACCCAGGCCATCAGCACAGGCCTACCTTGCACCCGGAGGACGTAGTACCGAGAGGCGGACCCGGCAGGATTACTGGCTGTGCATCCGTAGAGGCCACTGTCACCGACCTGGGCCTGGGCCAGACGCAGGGAGCCTGATGGGAGGAGGCGATGCCTGCGGAGTGAGGGCCACTGGTGAGACCACAACCAACCCCACCCCTGCTGGAAGGACCTCAAGACCCAACTTGAACCAACCACCTCCTCCAGGAAGCCTGCCAGGACTGAGGCTGTGTCTACTACCCACCCACCCTTTGGTCCTCCCCCTGCCCCACCTCCACTTCCAGGCCAGGGCCAGGTCTCACCCCAACTGGTCTAAGACATAAAGAGCACTGGACTAGGAATTCACAGCTTGGGGTCAGGTCCATACTTTGAACTCTTCCTTGCTGGGTAAAACAGGTCCCTTCCCCTCTTGGGGCCTCCCTTTCCTTATCTGCAAAATGGGCATACTAAGAGGGCCTATGTCTGGGGCTGGTGAGCAGATTCCACGTGGGCTCAGCCCAGGGCCCGGCACAGGGTCACCAGTAACCCCCCCTTCCTCTACTGCACGCCCTACCCTCAGGCAGGGGATGAGTCCCCCTTTGCTCGCCCGTCCCACGGCTTCCAGGGAGAAGCTGCGAGCCCAAAAGCCTTCTGCGGCTAAGTGTCAGGGCTGGCCAGACTCAGAATCCGGTGCTGTTTGGTGCTCTGTTGCCCAGCATTGTGCTGGGCCCTCCGGAGGAAGCCATGGAGGCTGCCCATCGTTGCCCTCCCCCATCTGGCCCACCTTGCTAAAGTCACCTGGCCCCCATCCCAAAGAGATCGGGGACCCCTGGCCAGACTCCTGCAGCTGGGCTGGACCCCAAGGGGCCCATGCAGACATGATGTCACCGGCCCATATGTGTTGGCTCCGTGAAGCCCCTGTCCCCATAAATCGAGGAGGGCAGCTGCAACCACTGGCCCCAGCTGGCCCCAACTGCAAGCGGCCAGCACGGGGGCGGGGGACCCCAAAGAACAGCTCCCCAGCCTGTGCTCCCAGTATATAGCTAGGCTCTAGAGACCCACAGGTTTCCTCCTCTGCAACACGGAGGTGACAATAGTCACCCTCTCCCAAGCAGCTGCGAGCAAAGTGCTGGGCATGCCCTGCTCAAACAGGTCAACGTCGCCGGCAGTGGACTCTCTAGGCAACCTCGGGCTACTACTTTGGCCCTACTGGGCCTCTGTCTCCCCATCTGTAAGATGGGGTAATAATCCCCCAGCTCAGCAGCCCCCTCCTACAGAGCATCCAGCAGGCACTTGGCGCAAGTTCTCTGAGGACAGTTCTAAGTGACATGCTGGGTGGTAGACTCAGAGCCCAGGCACTGGGTCGGACCACCGGGGTCCAACCTTGTTTGGCCACATGCTTGCTGTGGGAGGTTGATCTAGACATTTAACTTCTCTGTGCCTCTGCTGTCTCGTTCCGGAAACTAGAGACAACAGTAGCACTTATCCCTCATAGGGTCATCGAAAGAACAGAATGGCCTAATGCACAGCACGGTGCCCAGAACACAAAGGTACTCAGCAAAGGACAGCTGTTACCATGGTGATGACAGTGCATGTGCAAACAATATGCGATACAGTTCTGCATTGTTTAAAACATATAACTGGCTTGACGTGTAGGTATGTAGGTCTGATTCATTCATTTTTCACTGCTCTATAGTATTCCCTTGCGTGATCACAGCACAATTCATGAGCTTGTTCCTTTTTGGTGGACATTTAAATATTTAGATTTTTTTCTTCCCTCCTTTCCTCCCTCCCTTCTCTCTCTCTCTCTGTCTCTTTCTTCCACCACCAGAGCTCTGTACACACAGCTCTGTGTCCTGCAGGCATGGGAGCAGGACTGCTGGGCCAGGGCTCATATGCCGTCAGCTCTCATCAGCACGGACCGCCTCCCGATGCCTTGTAGGGCTCAGCTTCTCATCAGGATCTCCTGGCTTCATGTGAAACACGCAGATTCCCAGCCCCACCCTGAGACTCTGATGGGGGGGTGGGGCAGGAATGGGGGTTTTACCAAGACCCTAGCTGGCTGCGACATAGGTGGTCACGACAGAGGTGGTCAAGGGACCACCGCCCAGGGACATGAGGAAATGCCCCTACCCTGGGGAGCAGCATGGCTGAGCACAAAGGAGCAAGGCTTTGACAGCAAGTGGCCCTCCGTGAACCACCTGTCTGCTTCTTTCAGGCTGACCTGGGGTCAAGGACTCCATCTCCCTAAGACTCAGTGTTCTCATCTGGAGTCACAGGAGCTGGTGAGCATGAAGGGACATGTAGCCTATGTGCCTGGGGCATAGTGAGCGCTAGGTCAACAGCCCTGCTGTTAGCGTGACCATGACTCACAGCGTCTGCATTCTCGTTGCCTGTCTTCAGTCAGCTGGGCGGCCCTGAGCTGGCCGCTTAATCTTTCAAAAGGGAGGAAAAACACCACCTAGATCCCGATTCGTCCCAGTGACAGGGGAATGCTTCTCCCACATGGCATCACTTCTCTGGCTTGGTTTATCTTATCTACAATCTTTTTTTTTTTATTATTAAATAATGTTGACATCCACCAAACAAGGACCAAATCATTTTGAGGGGACATGGTTCCCTCCCTCCCAGGGCCTCGCTGCAAACCTCGGCTGGCAAAATGGGGACAGCATGGCTCAGGGGAAAGAGGTCTAGGGTGGGGACCGGAGTTCAGGATCCGAGGGCTGGTCCTACTGCAGACATGCTGAGCAACCTCAGGCAGTTGGGCGATGTCTCTGATCCCTGATTTCTTCATATCTGAAGAGGCAGCTCTGGATTCCTTTATTCAGAAGTTGCCTTCTAGTTCTGAGAACTTTAGAGACCACAGAGCCCCTTGCTCGCTCTCTCTCTCCCTCAACAAGACCTTTAAAGGACAGGAAGTAGGAGCTTCTGGAAAAAGATAATAAAAGAAATTTCCCCAAGTGGAAAATTCCCCACAATGAAGGTAGGCAGTTTGTCTTTCTTAGGACCAGCCCCAGGTCATTTCCCAGAAAGGGAACGCTGCTTGCTTTATCACAAAGGAAAAATGGAATGCAGGGAAAATCCATCTTACAGATGGACAAGCTGAGGCCTAGCAGAGGCCAAAGGACACAGTGCCTGCCCCATGCAGCCTGAGTCTGCTGTCACTGACAAAATGACCATATCACTGCCTTGCTTTAGAGCCCTCTGTGGCTGCCCACTGCTTGCTTCCCCAAACCCAAGCACAGTGTCCTGGCCTGTGTGGTCCTTCGTGGACCAGTCCCCCACCCCACCCCAGCTGGACAACCATTCTTTCTAGAGGGACCAGGTTCATCTCACCCCCGCCCCTTTGCACATGCTGTTCTTTCTACCTGAGGCATTCCCCCCACCTCCTGCTCCCCTGGATTACACCTGCTCAACCTTCAATACTTAGACACCACCTCCTCCAGGAAGGCCTCCAGCCTTGATGCCTCAAAGCTGGTAGGTACAGCCCATGGATTCCCACAGCTGCCTGTCCTTTTCACCCCCTGCCCCAGCCTTCCCCCTCCCCGGCTTGTGACCCAGCTCTCCTTCCCCTTTCTCAGAGGCTCCACAGGTCTGACAGCTGCAGCCCAGGGGTGGGGGCCGGGGAGAGGTGGGAGGAAGTGGGGAGAACACCACCACTACGTGTGTGCGGCGTGATCAGCAGCAGCCCCTCCGTCATGGCGTGAGCAGCCAGATGGCTCCCCTGAAGCACCCAGATGAGAACAGGGGAATTTCCTGTTTACGACATGCGCCAGGCCCGAGTCGTCACTGTTGGCTGTAGCTACAAGGTTCATACAGACACACGGATCGGGGGTCGGATCTGAGAGGTGCCCACCTACCCTGCCTAATCCCTCTGGTTCTTGGAGCTCCAAGGGGGGGACCTACCTGCCCAGAGAGACCAAAGAGCACCTGATAGAAAGTGCTCAGAATCAAGCCCAGAGCTGGGCTACACCGTCAGCCTCATTCCCAGCACACACCTGGGTGGCAGCCTCCCTCGGGGTCACCTGTCCAGTCCCTCTCATCCTCTGTGGCTCAGGGAAGCCACCCCTACAGCCCCGGGCGATACCCTGCGTCTGGTTACAAGATCCCGGAGCCATTATGACATTCATCACTCTTGTGGTCACCTGTTGATATTGATGCTTCCGTAAGTGGAGGGGCCAAGGTCCGGCCCTGTCCCCAGCCCTTAACGCAGGCCAGGGCCCAGAGTAGGTGCTCAATAAACATGCGATGGCAAATCCCAGCTGTCCACGCACGCACACTCCCTTCCCCACCTTCACTCACACTGTGTTCCCCCAACACGGTCTCAAGGGCACTCTCCTGCCCTCCAGACCCCCTTCAAGTCAGCACATGCCCCAGCTCCTCCACGAGGCCCTCCGTGACGCATGCCCTGCTCTGAGCTGCGTGGAGCCCAGTTCAGCCAGCTGCTCATTCATTCCCTCACTCAACAAAGAGCCGCGGGGTTCCAGGTGGGCCAGCCGCTGCAGGGTTAGAGAAAATGCTCCCGTCCTCGGGCTGCTCAGAGTCCACGTGGCCTGTCTATACCCAGTCCCTCTGGCCGTGTCCCCTTTTGCTCATCCTGCTGCCCCCGTTTCTAAAGGGCCCTTTGCCGCCCTTCCAAGCTCACTGCATGAGCGCGGAGCCTTCAGGAGGAGGATCGGTGGCTGTCCAACGAACAGCACTCCTCACGGTCACCCGCCGGAGGCTGGTCCTCACCCACTTATGCCCGCCACGTGCCCGGGTGGGTCCCGTGTCTGCTGGGACTGGGGGCGGGGGCTCCAGGCCGCCCGCACCCTCGCCCACCGATGGCCGCTCTGACCCTATTTCCTTGTTGGGGCCATACCACAGAACCTTGTAAGGAAGCCCCAGATGGAAAAACCAGTCTGGAGAATTTAGGAAGAGGGGCCTCACACCCACAAAAGGGCCAAACACGACCTGGGTGAGAGCGGGAGGATGTGCCATCCCCATGAGTCCGAGGAAGAGCCCAGCGAGTCCCACACAGAGGGCTGTCAACGACTGGGCACCTCCTGCATGCCACGCACATCTCAGCACCTACTACGCACACTCTCACTCGAAACTCCCAACGGCCGGGTCTGCGAGGGAGACAGAGCCTGCCAGGAGCACCCTCTTCTGCAGAGGACAAAACGGAGACAAAACAGAGAGATGAGGCCACCTAGCTGGTCAGGGCAGAGCGCGGACTTGACCTTTGGATGCTGCGACCATGCTCCCAACCACCGGGACGCTCCAAGTGTTTGCTTCTAAAGTTCATTGCACTGTCCAGAAAGAGAGCTGCTGGCCTTAGGCTAATGAGACCCTACCTCAGAGCTGCTAGGCAGGAAGCAGCGCGAGCTGTGAGCATCCACCAAGGTGAAGACCCCACAGGGGGGCCCTGGGCAGTCACTTTTCTCCGGGACCCCCAGAACTCAGCTGTAGCCCCGACTCTCCACTCGGGGCTATCCTCGGGAAGCTCCCTCCACTCACTGTCCCCTCCCCGCCAGCTTCCCCCCACCCCCGGATGCATCTGGATTGGCCCTGTGTGGGACCCTGGCCCGCTGCCCCCGGGGGCTGGAGCCCGAGCCAGGAGCACTCACAGCTGTCCCAGCCACACCTCGGAGCCACAAACAAACACTGTTGCCTGGAAACCCCACCTCGCCCCAGCATCCCGGGGCTGAATCATGGGATCGGAGCCACTAAGAGTTCTCTGGCCACCATCGTCTGCCCAACCCTTTCATTTCTCAGACAGGAAGACTGAGGCCCAGAGAGGGGACAGGTCTCGCTCAAGTTCACTCAGTGAATTGGGGACCAGGCTGGGATGGGACCCCAGGTCTTTCACAGCCCGGTGTCTCTCCGGGAGCCTTTGCTGTGGCTCGGGCCTGGGCACACGGGCTTGCTCGTCAACCCCGCTGAGTGCAAGTCCGAGAATCACGACTCTGTTTTTCACAGGCAGCAGCTGCATGGGGTAGGAAGCACCCAACGACCATTCCCACCCCCAGACTCAGTTGTTTGCTTTTGGGATGATACCCCAAGGAAACGACCCAGAAGATAAGGAGAAGCATTTGTGGGAAGATGTTCCAACAGCCCGCTGATCACCACTGAGAACTGGCAATAGAACACATGCCCCAAACAGAGGAGCAGCTTAGCAACCATGAGAGCCGAGCGCCCTGGAATGTTATTTTGCCCTTTAAATGAACAGCAAGTGACACGGGCCAGGAGGAATCAAGAAAATGGGGAAATGGGGAAAAAATACCAGTGATGAAGGGCAGAAAAGAAGGTACATTAAGCTGGATCCTATCAAAGCATCTGCGTGCACAGATGGGAAGGGGGTGCAGACGCAGGTGGATGGTTTCGAGTGTTAATGATACTCAAGCTCCTAGAGTTGTCTTTCCTTTAGGACTCATTGACTCAGAGGACAGAGGAGCCCAGAATATTCTCTAGACCCTCCAGAGAGAGCAGGGGCCTGCCTGACCTTGGCCCAGAAGCCTGATGGGTACGTGTCAACATGTTCTCACGTCTGCGTGCAGGTCCCTATGTGTCCGTGTTCGTGTCTGCACGCTTGTCTGTGTCTGTCCGTGTGTGTGCGTGTCTGTGTGTCTGTGCTGGTTTGTTTGCATGTGTCCATGTCTGTTCATGTCTGTGTGTGTGTGTGTATGTGCATGTTAGGACCCAGCCCCGGGAGTGGGAAGGTCAGGATCCCAGTTTCCCCACCCCGTGCGCTTCTGTTTCCCTTCTGTGCAGCGGGCATGGTGTCGCTCATCCCAGCTGCCTCCAGGAGGGTTGGCAGGTGATGAGGGAGGAATGGAAATGCGGGAGGCCTCAGGGACTCACCCACATCGTGCTTCTCAACCTAACCGCACCACAGAGTTGCCAGGGAACTCTCAAGAAGCACCAGCCCTGGACCTCTGCTGGCGACCCTAACCGCAGCCAAGGCTGAGAGCCCCCCCACCCCCCACCACCGCCAATGTCACCCAGGGTCAGGAAAGACAGGCCCCAGGCAAGCAGGGAGCAGACACTGGCCTTTCACCCCTGAGGACAGAGGAAGGGGCCGCGGCAGATGAGGCGCTGGATCCCGGAGGCCCATGAACACCTACGACTCGGAAGACTACGTCCGCAAGCTTCCAGAATGGCCACTGGGATGGAAGCTGAGCTTTGGGACCCCCCCCCCCCCCCGGAGAAGGACGAGAGGAAGGGCAGTAAGAAGGAGCAGGCCGACAGCAGCTCCATCCCGCCCAGCACGGCCACGCTCTGCTCGGTGCGTATTTCCAGGAGGGCTTTTAAATCCTCATTTTCTGGCTGAATGGTTGTATGACTAAAGGCACGTGTGTCTGTGAGAAAGCAGAGCTCCGTTCTGTGCAGGGAAGCTGTCAGCGCCGCGGTGAGGCCCAGAGAACCGCGGGGACCCGGAGCCCGCGAACCAAGGTCAAACGCAATCAAAGTCGGTGAGGTTACTCAGCTCGGCCAGCAGCAGAAACATCCCAAAGGCCCCTCAGCAGGGGGATGGATGGACAGAAGGTGGTCTTTCCACGCAAAGGAGTATTATTCAGCCACAAAATGGAAAGAAGTCCTGACCCACACCACGACATCGATGAACCTCCCAAACGTTATGTTGAATGAAAGGAAGCAGACACAAAAAGCCACATGTTATATATAGGATTCCATTTCTACGAAACATCCAGAAGAGAGAAGTCCAAAACCAGAAAGCAGAGGAGGGGTTGCCAGGGGCTGGAGTGGGGGAGGGGCGGGCATGGTGTGGGGTTTGCAGGGGCGGGGGGCTGCTGAAAATTGCTGGAAATGTCTTAAAAGTAGTTGTGGTGTTGGTTGCACAACTCTGAATATCCCGAAACCCGGAACTGTCCCACATGTGGATGGTATCTCACTAAAGCTTGTATATTTAAAAAAGCAGGTAAGAATAAAATGAGATAACAGCTGTGATCATTTTTTTTTTAAAACCAGAAATGATGCCTTAGTTTGTGAATAGCAGCGGCAAAAAAGGTGGTATCAGAGGGAGCAGTTTTCCCGCACTTGACCACGTACTAAGTAAGCATCGTGCATCCCTCGTGAGCATTATTTAAACAAGGCCCACTTTACAGGTGGAAAAACAGGCCAGGAGGAGCCGGTGGCCACCTGAGGCCCCACGACTAACACGACACCAGCTGGGATCTGGGGTCGGGTACAATGAACTCCAGGCCTAAGCTCCTTACCCAGCCCCGCCCCTGCCCAGGCCTATTTTCCTCCTCATTTAGATAAACTCCCAGAATCTCATAAATCTCAAGAGAAAGCTGTAAGCCAGCAAGAAGTGGAGAGGGCAAGGGAGAAAGAACAGAACTGAGGATTGCAAAAGCAGCTCCCACAAATTTATGGCTCCCGGTTGATCTATTAACACATCACAATAAGGAGGGGTGAACAAATGGGTATTATGGTTCTTCATTTCAGTAACAGGCCATAAATAAACAAAGCACCCGGCCGGCCGCCGCCCACCACACAGGCACTAACACCAGGCTTTCTGGGAAGAGATGGGGGCTCCCATGGTCTCCCAGCCCGGAGACATACAGTTGCACGAGACACCAACAGGGCACGGGGATGGAGGCGCTCCAGACCCAGCCCAGGCCCAGGACCCTAGCCTCATTCAGGGTGTAGGCTTCGAGGTTTGGAAGGGCTCACCAAACAGATGTTCTGAGATGCACAGACGCACGTGTGGGCGTTAGGGGGGGTGAGGGCTTGAGACCTCCTGGGTCTGGAACTTCTCGAAGACCTTGCCAGGACTGATGTCACTGGTCAAAGCTTCCCCCCACCACTGCCCCCACTCCCGCCGACGTGGGCCCAAAAGTCAAGGGCCCCAGGAGTTTCGAGGCCTTCTTGTCTGGAACCACCGTCTCCCACAGCCTCCCTCTCTAGCCTCCCTCTCTGATGGCTGGAGAGCAGCTGAGTCAGAAAGCCCAGCCTCCAGACACCTGGGCTGCGGAGCAGGCGAGGACACAGAACGTGACATAGTCAGGACGCCATCCCAACTGTGCTGTGCCTCTTTTCTAGCTGGGTGACCATGAGCAGCTCACTGCAGCTCAATGAGCCTTAGTCAGTCTGGACGGAAGGGCTGCCGTGCAGATGAATGGAGTTTCTGCCTACAGAACCCAGCGCCAGTGCACAAAGCTCGGGCACATGTGACTTCAGAGGGGTCTCTCTCTTGGAGGGGTCTCTGCTCTCTTAGAGGTCCCCTGAGAGGCTTCAAGGGGCCCATGGACCAAAGTGCTATGTGTGGGGGTGCCTGGCTGGCTCAGGCGGTTAAGCGTCTGCCTTCAGCTCAGGTCATGATCTCAGGGTCCTGGGATCGAGCCCCGTGTTGTGCTTCCTGCTCAGTGGGAAGCCTGCTTGTCCCTCTGCCCCTCCCCTCACTTGTGCTCTCTCTCAAATAAATAAATAAAATCTTAAAAAAAAAAAAAGAAGTGCTATGTGTGAAGTTGAATACGCACCCCCTGGGAGTGTCCACAGGGTCCCACACACTGGCTGGGCCACTGGCCACCTTGAGGCCAGTTTCCTCAAACCCCGAGCTTTGCTTATGTCCAGGCCCAGGGGCACACGGTCAGGGTTACCTGTCGGTGAGGGATGGCACAGGGTGGAAGTCCTTGGTCCAGGTGACCAATGGGGGTGGGGAGCCCTGGGCCTCGCAGTCCAGGGTCACCTCGTCACCAGCCTTGGCCACGATTCTCAGAGGCTCGCCTGCATCACGTGAACCATTCACACGGATCCTGGGCTCAGCTGTTGGTAGAAGCACGCAGCGACTGTGAGTCAGGCAGGAAGTCACTGCCCGGGGGCAAAGGGGGCCAGGACGGCTCCCCTAGGAAGCAGAGAGGATACTGCCACCCTGGAATGTGCAGAGGCGGGTGGGCTGGGCTCGGCTATCAGGGGAGAGTGCAGGTTTGGGGGTGGCCCCAGATCCAATGGTTCCCCCCAGTCCTCCACCATCACCCTCCCTCTGGAAGCTCAGCTGGTTCTGATGACCCTGACATGGTCCCTCCTGCTTCAATATCTGCTACCCGCTAGCTTGTTGGAATGTTCCCCGGGCACATTCCAGCAAGTTCTGTCCTCATCTTCTCCTTCTCCCTTCTCCCTCAGGATCATCCCAGTTATTCTGAGGATATCAACCACCAGATGAAGCACAATGTCCCTCTGGCTTTCTCAAACCCTGATTGGGGGTTTATAACAATCCATGCATGTCACCTCTTTCTCATATCAAGCTCAAGGCTCCTAATGACAGAGATTACCCTGCACGCCTCCTTCCTTATGCCCCACCCCCACATTCCTAGCCAGGTGCTCATACACGGACAGCAGGGGTAGGTGTCTAAGCAACAATAACTCAGCTAGCCAGCTGGGGACATCAAGACCCATGTAGCCCTCATGCATTCCCTTGCACATTACAGAGAAAATCTCCCCTTTAAGAAAGAAAAATTTTTTTGCAATGTGAAAATATTGGTTATACAAGTTTATATAAAAAAACTTGGCTGTGCATTTGCTCATTCATTCCAGGCCATTCCTGAGTACCCAGCTCTGTGTAAATGCTGGGATGCAGCAGCGAAGGAGACAGATCCTGTCCTCACAGCATCAGGGCCCACAGGGAACACTGGTACCAAACAGCTCAATACACGATTAGTTATTTAATCATAGTTGTGAATGGTGTTACAAAGGGGACAGTCTAGAGAGTATACAGCAAAGTGACTTGACTCAGTCTGAGGAGTCAGAAAGCCTACATCTGACCAATGGGAGAAGTCAGTTGGGCCAAGAGGGGGTAGGAAATTCCAAGCAGAAGGAACTGCACGTTCCAAGGCCCTGAGGAAGGATGCACCATTTAAGAAATCAAAAGGAGGCCAGAGGGTCTGGGGCACAGAGAACCGGGGAGAGAGGTGGGCAAGGGGGCTGCCAAGGTGGGAGGGGTCCAGTGTAGGGCCTGTGGTTTTCCAAGGCTTATTAAAGTGATGGCCGCCCATCATCTGCTTACAAAGGGCTGAGTTGGAACCCCTTTCAGAGTATGCACACACTACTGAGGACAGTGGCTGGGGGAGGACAGCTTTGGTCTGTGTGCCTTTCAGATGGGAAGAATTTAGAGGCAGGGTTGGCAGGGTACGGGGAAGATGCAGGTAAGGTCAGATTGTCCATGCCCCTGACTCCGTGCCTGCCAAGTCCCTCTCCCGGGAAGGGATGGTGTCACTCACTGTTGACAGAAAGCCTCATCTCCTGGCTTGAGAAGCCCACAGCATTGGTGGCTGTGCAGACGTAGGCCCCGGCATCCTGGGGAGATGGCCGGGCGATGATCAGGGTGCCATCTTTGCTCACATTGTAGTGGGGACCCCTGGAGGTCAGGACATTGGTTTCCTACGGTAGAGTCACGGGTGACATCAGCAAAGCCCACAGCCCATGATGATTTGCATCATTCCCCTCCCCATGATGCACTGGGCCCACCTCTCTGGTTACCCTCATGCTAACAGGCTCCTCCTACCTTGGTCCAAGTGATAGTGGGGGTGGGGACCCCTGAGGCCACACAGGGGAGAGAGGCTGGAACCCCTTCATTGGTGACATGGTGGGTGGCAGTGGGCTGGATCCGAGGTGGCACTTTCAAAAACAAACCAATTTTATAAACCAAGCTTCAGAGCAGCATTATTCACGGTAGCCAAAAGGTGGAAATAACCCAAGTATCCGCCAATGGGTTTACGGTTAAACAAAATGTGGTGTGAACATGTAAAATATTATTCAGCTTTAAAAAGGAATAAAAGCCTGATAAGTACTATAACAAGAATGCACCTTGAACACAGTATGCTAAGTGAAATCAGCCACACACAGGACAAATACTATAGGATCCCACTCACGTGAAATCCCTAGAATAGGAAAATTCAGAGACAGGAGGGAGAATGGTGGTTGCCAGGGGCTGGGGGAGGAGAAACGGGGACCTAGTGTTCAGTGGGGACAGAGCTTCATTTTGGGAGGATGAGAAAGTTCTGGAGCTGGGCACCTGGGTGGCTCAGTCGTAAGCGTCTGCCTTCGGCTCAGGTCATGATCCCAGGGTCCTGGGATTGAGCCCACATCAGGCTCCCTGCTCTGCGGGGAGCCTGCTTCTCGCTCTCCCACTCCCCCTGCTTGTGTTCCCTCTCTCGCTGTCTCTCTCTGTGTGTCAAATAAATAAATAAAAATCTTAAAAAAAAAAAAAAAGAAAAGAAAGTTCTGGAGCTGGATGTTGGTGGTTGTATAGCAATGTGAATGTGCTTCATGCCACTGAACTGTAGGCTTTAAAATGGTTAAAATGGTAAGTTTTATGTTATGTATATTTGACCACAATTTAAAAAAAAAAACACAAACTATTTCAACGAAAGAATACAAGTGGCATAGAAGTATCAACAGCCACACTTCTATAGATTCATGCCCCGGACGGAGGGCACCTGTACCTGGAAACCAGCTGTGCCATTTCTTTGCTCTGGGACTTTGATTAAACCACTTAATCTTTTAGTACCCGTATTCCTTCATCAGCAAAAAAGCTCCTTAACCCCAATTCCCTGCCTACTCTCCAGGGATGGACAGATGAGAAATGGCGGCAAAGAGTGTTCACAGAACACAGTGAACTTGAAAACAAGTGCCAAATCCATTCTGGGCACCATCCAGATTTGTGGGGGAGGAGAAACCCGATGTGGACCCGTCGGGAGAAGCCAAGGGCTCTGCCAGTAAGGGAGGAAAATGCCCTTCTGGATTCTCTCGGGTGGCCAAAGCCCGCCAATCATTACTACTGTTGAATGGAAATGAAGTGAGCCAAGAGCCAGGGCCGGCCCTGCAAAGGAGGCTGTCCTGTATGGGGTGAGAGGTAGCCTTTGCTGATCCTGAGATCCTGCTGAGTGACATGCCTCTCTGAGCTGTCATTTCAGAACGGGGAGTCTTTTAAACCCCACATCTTGAATCGGTATGAAATTTAAGTGAAACCTACACAGAACCTCACAGAGGTCTGGCACATGGGGCATGCCCAGCCTTTGATCGCGTTATTAATTGGGAGTTATGAGGAGGTGAGACCGCGTTCTAGACCCCGCCTCCTTCTGAACTTTGGTTTTCCTCTAGAAAATGGGTAACAATGTCCTTCCTGCTCATCCTTGGGGGTTTTATGAAACAAATGAAAAAAAAAAAAACAAAAAACGGGACGTTAACATACTTGGTAAATGACAAAATATAACCAAACTTAGTTTAAACTTCTTATGTTAAAAAGAACAGTGGTAGCTGGTCGTGTGGGTGAAAGGAACAGGGGCTCTCCAACCCTGTGGGAGTGAGTGTAATTGGGTAAAATATAAATAAAGCCCTAAAAATGTGCGATTTCTGTCAGTCAAAAGTCAATTCTACATGAATGGGTTTATCCTAAGGAAAGAATCGCACATGTGGGCAAAGGTGTCCATCCTGGGAGCAACCCGACAAGAGGGGGCAGGCGAGAGGCTCATGGCTCATCCAAACACATCGTCTTAAACCGAGCCTTCTGAGTATTTATTCACAGAAAATATTCAGAATCTCCTGTCAAGGGAAATACCCAGGTTGTAGGACAGTAATACAGTGTGGTCCCAGTTTGGTTTTTAAATATTTCTGTGTACGTATATATAAAGGATTTACAGAAATATGGATAGAAATACAGATACATAGGGCGCCTGGGTGGCTCAAGTCACTAAGCGTCTGCCTTCGGCTCAGGTCATGATCCCAGGGTCCTGGGATCGAGCCCCGCATCGGGCTCGCTGCTCAGCGGGGAGCCTGCTCCTCCCTCTCCCACTCCCCCTGCTTGTGTTCCCTCTCTTGCTGTATCTGTCTCTGTCAAATAAATAAATAAAATCTTTTTAAAAAAATACAGATACATAAAGAATTTATATGCACTTTATATAAAGAATGTATATATTATGTAAAAATTATTTACATACAAAGTAAATAAAGTTATATACAATTTAAGTTACACATAACTCATTACATATATAGTGTGTATAAATGCACATTGTGTAAGCTCACATGTGTATAACGTGTGAAAGATACACACCAACATGTAAAATTATCTGGTTCTCCTTAGCTGCTGTATTGTGTTTTACGTGTCTCACCTCGAATTTTCCTACCGTGAAAATGTACTATTTGTGCAACTTTTTTAAACAGAAGTATTGAAGATCAAGTTCTCCCCCTGCCCCTTCCCCATCCTCTCACACCCCGCACCCCTACCCCCCCCACCCCGGGACTCACCCTGGACAACCAACTCCACGTCCCTGTGCTGAGAGCCAGCCGCGTTGGTGACCACACAGCTATACCTCCCTGCGTCCTCCTGCAGCGCCCGGTCAAGGTGGAGGCTGCCATCTGCTCGGATGGAATGCCGGCTGCCAGGTGGGAGCTGGTAAGGGTGAGGGAGCCCCAGTTTGAACTGCGGCCCTACGTGGGGCCAGCTGAGAAAGAGCGTTCTGGAGAACCACACTGCCTGCCGGGCCAGTGGGGAGCAGTCTGGACTGAGAAGCTAGGGGTTTGGAGAACCCCTCCCCTTCCCTGAGACTCCTCCACCCTGCAGACCAGCAGGGCTAGGGGTCCTTGCCCCCACTCTCCCCACAACGAGCTGAAATAGGAGGGCAAGCTGCCTGACCCCAGTGGGCCGATGGGAGCCTCCCCCAAGAGTGCAGGGTTGGAGCCGGAGTCTTTACTGAGCAGGTGCTGGGGCTCCAAGGCCCTTCCACACTGAAGCTGCAGAGAGGAGGGACAGACTCCTGGGGGGAAAACAGAGCCACACAGAGTAGAACAGACGTATGGCCACATCAGATGTGGTCCCAGAGAGAGAAGCAGAGACAGTGGCTCCTGGTGGCTGCCCAGATGTGTACGCACGGGGACCAGGGTGGGGCAGGGAGCACTGGTCCAGAATGGGGCCTGGGGTAACCTCTGTAAAGATGTCTAGTCAGCCCGTCTTTGGTGAGGGGTCCTTTTAAGAGCCCTTCCACCAGGCCTGAGCCCTCTTTCGGCCTCCTTGACCCTGTCCCGGGAGCCTAGCCTCACACCCTGCACTCAGGTTCTAGAAGCTGCTCCTGCACCATCTCAAGACCAGGCCCTTTGGGGCTGAGCAAGCTTGAGGGGATTTCTGCTGGTGGCACGCGGCAGCCCAACAGGCGCGGGTCCACCCGGCGTCCCTACTGAGTTAAAACAGACTCCACATCTCCAGCCACTCCCTGTCCTGGCCTCGACACGGCCCCGGGCCACTCCTTCCGCACCTACCCATCCGATCCTACTCAGGAAGGCTCCTCACCGCTGCAGCCCACACCCCCAGGCAGGGGCCTCCTCGGGGTCACGTCTAATCACACAGGCTGCAGAGTGAGTCGTCAGCATGATCAGCCTCTGCAAAGCCCACACGCTCTGGGGGCAGGACCCTGTCTGCCCTGCACCAGGGTCTGGGGGCAGGACAGCAGGAACAGAAAGACAGCCACACGGTCGCTACCTCCCTAGGAGTCCAGAGTCTGCCCATCTGCAGCAGTGACAGCACTTCTCTATGGCCTTGAGGGCACAAGGACCCCAGGATGTCTGAGGACAAGGCGCAAGAATTGAGGAAGGTGGGGGGGGGGCAAAGAAGGCGTGGCCACGAGGGGAGAAATGGAAGAAAATAAAGAAAACCAAATCAATATGAGTGGAGAAAGCAAGCAGCCACCGTGTGCCCAGCTATGTAGTCAGGGCAGGTACTAACGGGCCACGTCTCTGCCCCAGAACTGTCGGGGGGTGGGGACGAAAGCACTCTCTCCGCTCCCCAGCCTCAGCATTAGCAGAGCACAAGGTCCTCCGGAGGCTCTCCAGGGGACCAGCAGCCACACGGTCCTCAGCCGGACTTGGGAGGGAGGCAGATGCTATCAGCGCATTTATCAGAGAAATTTCTGGGAAGAGGCAGGAAAGAGAGGGAGGAAGGAAGAGCACATCCCAAAACAAGCGAACAGCCAAGCGGAGGCCGAGGGGGGCACACGACAGCCCCTCCGTCCCCAGGCATCCCCAGAGAGCCAGCACTCACAGGCAGGCCGGCCTTGAGCCAGTGTCTCTCTGGGAAGGGCCTCCCAGCCAGGATGATGCAGGGCAGGGACACCGGCTGCCTCTCCAGCACCCGGACGGTGGAGGCGCTGCTGGCGATCTGCGGTGGGGCTGTGGGGACAGGAGATGGTATGCGTCACACAGATTCCCATGGGTGGTCACCCCCTCTCCTCCCCAGGGAACCAGTGGAAGCATCAGAACAGGGGCTCCTCCAGGGTCCAAGGGCGCACTTCCTGGGGCATGCTGCTTCCTGGGATCCAGATGCTCCTCCTGGAGAACCTGGCACGGACACATCTGTCCCAGAGCGTGGGCGGCCATGGGGGGGTCTCCCTGGGGGGGTCCCAACCTCCCCACCAAACCCTCTTCCCCTAGATCCACCAGCGAACCATGTCCGGTCACGACGAGCTGGGCCTCTGCCCGGACCTTCCCAAACACATTTTGAGCTTCACAGACATACGGGGCCTGATCTTCAGGGACCACACCTGAGGGGCAGAAAGAGGCAGGACTGACTGCCCGGACTCGCCACGGCTCCAGCCCCGCAGGGGCAGGCAGCCTTCGGCGCAGCCCGGCCCCGCAGAGGTGAGGTAGGAGCGCTGGGGGAAGCGGCCAAGCCTTGGAAGGGCGGGAAGGCCTCAGCGCTCATCTGCAGAATGGGGGACGTTTATGAATCCCCGTGCCTTGTGGCATGATGGGGTGGGCTCGCTGATGTAAACACAGTGCCCGGCATCCGGCCCTGCGCACAGCAAGCGGTCATAGTGTGATGGTGGGGGCCATGATAATGGCAATGGGACACTTCACACGGGTCAGGAACTCTGCTGGGCGCTTTATGTGTATTACCCACACAGCAACCCCCCCGGGCGGCCTGTTAGTAAACCCAAGTGGTAGGTTTTGTCCTTATCATTACTATCTCGGGTTCAGAGTAGGAGAACGACGTGACCAGGGTCAGCCAGCCAAAATACGACCCTGCATCAACCCTACCCGCGTTCAAAGCCAGGGGTCAAGGCTCTGCTCCGAGCCACCTGGCCTGGGGGCTGAGAATATCAGAAGCCGTGCTGTCTCCCTTGCCCACCCTCCCCTCCCCCAGTGTCTTACTTTCAAAGAACAGCACGCCCAAATCGGGCTGCCCAGTCCTGCTGCCCCGCCTGGGCCCCAGTGGCTGGCCATCTCCACGGCGCCAGGTGACCAGCGGGGGCGGGCGGCCCATGGCCCGGCATGCCAGGAGGGCACTCCTCCCCAGCTCCACAGTGACGTCCCGGGGCAGCTCCATCAGCTGGGGTGCATCTGCAGGGAGAGGACCAGTCAGCCATGCCTGGTGGCTGAACCCACCGTGCCCCCAGAGGCCTGTTCCTGCCGCCTGCCTCCCCTCCCATTGCTAGAAGGTTCCATTTCTCCCAGCCTCACCCTCATGAACCTGGGGCTGACTCATATCCAGGGCTCCAGGGCCAACCTGAGCTTGGCTTGGTCCAGGCCTGGAGAGTTCTTAGGGATGAGGCAGAGGGAGTGGCCTTTGGCGGGATGAAGCTGCCGCCATGCCTCATACCCCTGCATGGGGTCACGGGGGCCTCGCCGGGCCTCGCCGGGCCTCGCCGTGCAGGGGAAGGCAACAGGCCTGTTCCTGGCAGCAACACCTCCCGGGAAGCCCACCTCTGAGGGGTGGCAAGGCAAGCTCCAGCCACAGGAGCCCAGCTACCTCAGAGACCCTCCCTTCTCTCGCCCTCTTCCACCTTCCTCCGGCAGGTGTCCTGAACTTGGGCAACAAACTATCCTGACCCCCAAAGAGCCAAATCTGTGGAGAGATGAATGGTCATCTTCATTCTCCTCTCTACATCTCTGTTTGCTAATATTTTTGTAAGGAGTACATAAAACTCCACCACAAAATGAAAACATGCTTACTATAAATAAGGTGACCTTACACTTGACGGTCCAAATGGGACACTGGAACATACTAATCAGGGCACCAGGACAACAGTCCCAAACAAGGACTGCCCTGCTCATGGGAGTTAAACAAAACTCCAGTAATACACAAGAATATACTTCCCCCAGTTTTTGCTCCACACACCCCAAATCTCATGCCCTTCCCCAGGGTCATCACTGTTAACAGTTTGTAGTGTTTCTTCTAAACTTTTTTCGAAGCATTGTCTTATATTTATAATCAGGAGAAAATAAGTTGTTTCCCAAAACATAAAGTCATGATCCTTCCTACCCTTCGGCAGGCCAGGAGATGGCCCAATTCCAGATGGGTCCAGGCCCTGTCCTTGCAGCTTATGGGCACGGTTCTCAGGTCCCTGTCCCCAGACCTATGACCAGTAAGGTCCCCTAGCCTTTTTTTAACCTGTGGCATCCAACACCATGGAAAATCCTCCACCCCTTTATTCTGTCCGCCTCCCTCCAGAAATCTCCCCCATCCATCCAAATCATGACATCAAATTTCCCTCCTGGCCTAGGGATTAGGGATGTTCCAAGGAGATATAAACACAACTTGGAAAATTACTGCAAGGAGGACCCAAGTCTTGGACCCAGCCTCCAGACACCACCCACACGCCTCTCTTTCTTGTTAGGGCCTGGCAGCTGCCGAGATCCAGAATCCCAGAAAGCCTCCACTCCGGGCTCGCCTCAGATAGGATCATTGCTCCCGCAGAGCCCTGGCCCCGGGAGGCACGACTTTGCCATCCCCCACTTGCTGGGCAGAGCTGAGCCCAGGGCCAGATAACCCCAGAGCCTGCCTTCACCCGCTCCGTCCAGCCAGACCTGCTTCTTGACCTCCTTTGCCCCCAAACAGCCCAGCTTTGTCTCCAGACTGTGGGACACAACAAAGCACACTCTTCCCCATTGTCCTCCCAGTCCTGAACTTCCCCCCAAAAAAGGGACAACCAGCTTATGATAGTTAGCAAATAATATGTACAGAGGGTAGCATTTGGAATGCCTATTAAGGGACAGGCAAGGTGACGGTCCTTTTAGAAACAACAATTTCATCAACCCCATTTTACAGATGAGGAAACTGAGGCTCAGCGAGATTAAGGAGGGTGCCCAAGCGCACAGCTCGAAGTCAACAGCAGAGGAGGGCTCAGAGCTTAGGTCTGGCTGTTGCTAAGGCCCAGGCTCCTACCCACCGCACCCCTGTGTCCCCCCCCACCGGGGTCCTCAGAAGCAACTTGGCTGCTATTTCAGCCAGAGCCGCACCCACCTCTTCTGTCCTCTCTTTGGGTGAATCCCGAAGCAGCCAAATCCCAGACTCAGATCCCACCCAGAAAACTCTAACTCAGCCTCCGGCATAGCCATCCCCCCAGCCCAGTCTCACTGGAGCCCCCAACTAAGGCAGGATCCCAGAATCCTCATATGCCAGAGCTGAAGGCCCTTTGCTCCCCTCATTTGTAGATGGGAAACTGAGGCCGGGGGCAGGGGCAGGGGCAGGGCCGGCCCTGAGTCCTGCAGCATGTTGGTGGGGCCTGGGCTCCCAACCCAGTGCCCTTCCCAGAGACTCATCAGAGGTTCAGCCACCTCTGTCCTCAGCCCTCCTCCTCACGGACTCCCAGGTGACCCCTGCAGTAATCCAGGGAGGGACCGTAAACTGGCCCTGTGTTCAGACAGAATGTCAGGGTGTCTGTCACTGGGGGGACTGGCTTCCACAGCCCCCTCCTGGGAAGGTTCCTGCAGTTGGGCTGAGGCTGCAGCTGCCGGTGCACTCTCGTGGGCCTCTTCCTCCTTAGAAAAATATTAACAATTTGGGGCGCCTGGGTGGCTCAGTCAGTTAAGCGGCTGCCTTTGGCTCAGGTCATGATCCCAGGGTCCTGGGATCGAGTCCCAGTTCGGGCTCCCTGCTCGGCGGGGAGTCTGCTTCTCCTTCTGACCCTCCCCACTCTTGTGCTCTCTCTCTCAAATAAATGAATTAAATCTTTAAAAAAATATATTAACAATTCTATTTTATCACCGCATTGACATAAAGGCAGACAATCCAGGCTGGATTCATTTTCATCTACTTGTCGTCATCCATTTGTTTCCTTCTGATTTTAAAAGAAATTAGAATCAGAGCATTGTCCCGGGGCCCTGGACCTATCCCAGGCCCTAGGTTTGTGCCCGCTGTGCCTGATGGAAAAGCCAAAGCTACTTCTCTCCTGCTCCCCTAGGCTGGCCAGGGGTTCTCTGCACTCCCCAAAGCATAAGCTCTTCTCCCCTGCTCATCTACCCGGCAACCTGGGGCTCCCAGGCCGGGAACAGAAGGCAGGGACAGAAATGAGGAAACACACAGAGGAATGAACATCCTCTCTTCCTGAGTGAGAATCCAGCAGGTGCAGATAACTTAGCTCGGAGCAGCTGGTCTCAGGGAACAGAAAGGGCGCTGAACTTGGGACGGGCATGCCTGCTATGAGCCCGGTCACCAGCCATGTGATGAATCTCGCCGCCTCCCTGGGCCCGGGGCGGCCAGCGTGTTGAGTATCTATTCCATTCAAGCCCCGAGCGAAGCTCGTTCTCTCATTAAATCTATCAAGGACCCTATGAGCAAAGCTCTATTACTTTCCTCCCTTTTCACAGATGAGGAAAGGAAGGCTCAATAACTTGGCCAAAGAAGCAGTGGAGTCTGGGCATCATCCAGTCTGCCGGATGCCAGGCCCAGAGGTGATGCAAAGGTGCCCTGCGGGCGGGGCCCCCAACACTGGCAGCCACCGCCCTCCTTCCCAAACGCGGCTGGGAAGCCGGTTCCTAGCTCAACAGCAGGAGCTGGGCACAGCGCCCAGCTGTTCCCCGCCCTGGAAGGCTCTGCCGGCCTGGCTAGGAAGGCCGGGCCACAGCTGCCACCCAGATGGGCAGGAAATTCGATTTCCCACCACTGCTGCCAGTCCAGCTCTCTTCAGACACACAGGTGCTGGGCCACCGTCCACCCCTTCCCCGACCTCAAGGCCGAAGGCCACCAGTGGCCAAGAAGCCTGCCTCTGGGATGCCAGCCGTCTCCTCCTCTGACATGGGGAACCCGCCCTAAGGTCCATTGCTGACAGGTGAAGGAATAGGACCAGGAGGGCGTGTCAGCCTGGACCCCAAAGAAATAAGGCACTGCTGAAAAGAAATCAGACACGGAGCAAAGGATGATTGCCTGTGACAACGCCAAGTACAGCCCTGGCTGGAGCGCCCTCTACACTCACCCAGAACCTACTGACTATTAACAATGACAGTGACGTTGATCAGAACCCCTCAGGCCCCAGGCCAGTCTTACCTTGCACTCCTCAACATCCTAGAGACATTTTGCCGACGAGGAACCCAAGGCTCAGAGTGGGGAAGCAATGTCCAAGCTCACCCTGCTGCTGAGCATCACGATGAAGTCCAGGGGCTAAAGGCCTGGACCCTGGGTTCGGATCTCAGCTCTGCCACTCAGCAGCTGTGTGACCTTGGGCAAGTCACTTAACCTCTCTGTGCCTCGGGTTCCCCATCTATATAGGAGATAATGACAGAACCCACCTCAAAGAGTTGTTGAGAGGTTTACATGTTAGTACACGAAACATGCTTAGAGCTGGCCCTGGTACCTGGCAAATTTCATAGATATCCTGGCTTATATGTTTATCGTTATCAGGCTCTAAGCCTGCACCTTTCCACACCCACCCCACTCTACCTGAGAGCGAGCCACATAGCGCACTCTCTACAGGGAACATCGAAGCACATCAACTCCCCACCCTAAAAACTCTCACCAACCCCGCAGGACCAAGCCCAAATGGTGCCAGGCTCCTGAGGCTGAGCATGACCCACAGCAGGTAGCAGCCTCCTGGGCGCCCCTCAGCCCCGGCTCAGTCTCACTCCCTGGCTCGCTTCTCCTGCCGTGGGGAGATCTGCACATGCTGCTCCCTTCGCCTCGAACACTGCTCCCCAGCTCATCACCTGCCTGATGGCTTCTGGGTTCATCTCAGACATCACCTCCTCCAGGAAGCCTTCCCAGCCCCCAATGTCTGTTGGACTCCTTCTCTGGGCACCAACAGCTCCCCATGGATACCACTTGCAAATGCTCACTACCCTGAGTATCCCACTTGTCTGTTTGCCGTCTCTCTCCTCGACACCAAGAGCAACACAAAGGCAGATGCCGAGTCTCGCCTGCTGTTTTGTCCCCGGCACAGGGCCTGGCCACCTGGTGACCGCGCGAGGGAGGTAGGAGTGACAGAACCAACAACTGAAGGCTAAGGGTGCCCCAAGCCCGGGAGAATCCAACCCTGACATGGCACCATCGTCCTCGGGGCCAGAACCTTCTACTCACAAGGCCTGCTCCACCCAGGGCCCCTCACTGTCCTTGGGGAGCCCCTTGGCCATCCCACCCAGCCTCGACAAGCACATTGTTGATTCTCTGTGCTTCCCCGGGACTCCCAGCACCTGGCCTTCCCGCCGTGGCCACAGCAAACCCCTCAGAGCCCAGTTCATGCTGGCCCAGCATGCCGAGGAGCTGTGCCCACAACTTTGAGCAATCCCCAGGGCCCTGGGTGCAGGCCTGGAATTCAGACGTCATGACAGTCACAGCCAAGGCCGTGCACCAGCCACAGAAGAACCCAGACTCCCCATCTGTAAAGAGGGGATAATCACCCATCTGTTTAGTAAGCACTCGAGATGGGCTAAACCCTGTGCTAAGCATTATATGCCTGATCTCACCAAACCCTCCCAGCAACCCCATTTTACAGATAGGAAAACTGAGGGTCAATGACTCAACCAAAGCACATAGATGGTAAATGATAGAGATAAGACGGGAACTCAGATCCCAGGGATGACCATGCCCAAGCTTGAACCAAACTGTCTCTGTGGTAGGCAGCCTCCAAGGTGGCCTCCTGGGATGCACACACTTGAGTAGCCCCTCCCACCCATCGTGTACCAGGGTTGGTCTGTGTGACCAAGAGAATATAGTAGAAGTGACAGTATGTCACTTCCAGGACCGGCTGGTTATAAAGACTGCAGCTTCCTTGTGGGATTCTCTCTCTTTCCCTCTCCCTCCCTCTCTTTCTCTCTCTCTCTTCTCCCTCTCTCTTTTCTCTCTCTCTTCTCTGTCGTCTCTCTCCCTCTTGCCCCTCCTCTCTCCTCCCTCTTTCTCCTCTCTCTTTTCTCTCTCCTTTCTCTCTCTTCTCTCTCTCCTCTCTCTCTTCTCCTCCCTCTCTCTTCTCTCTCTTATCCCCCCTCCCTTTTCTTCCCCCTCTCTCCTTCTCTCTCTCTCTCCCTCCCTCAACTCCCTTGCTCATGGGAATCCATGTCAGGAGAAGCCTTCTAGAGACGCCCACATGGGGAACGAACGAACTGAGGCATCCTGCCAACAGCCGCGTGAGTGAATCCAGACTGGCTCCTCCAGCCCCAGTCAAGCCTTCAGATGATGCAGCCCCGGCTGAAGCATTAATTGCAATCCCGTGAGAGCCTCCGAGCCACAACCACCCAGCCAAGCCACTCCTAAACCCTGGCCCTCCAGAACTGCAAGCAAATAAATGCTTACTGTTTAAGCCACAAAGTTTTGGGGCAATTTGTCATACAGCAAGAGGCACTGTGTCCTTGGTCCCACGTGCTCCGGATGCACATGATACAGATTCCACACTGGCATTCTCTATGGTAGAGTTCCCTCCTCCCTGCTCAGAGGCAGGGCAAAGGGGGAGGGGGCAGGTGGGGACAAGGTGTACACTCACGTCCAACCTCCAGCTGGATCTCTGCAGAAGCATCGCCCATCTCATTGACAGCTCGGCAGGTGTAGACGCCAGCATCCCTCTCCCGAGCTGCTGGGATCCGCAGTGTCCCAGAGCTGGAGCCCTCGGGGGCCAGAATCATTTCAAGACCCCCTGCACCAAAGATGGGAAAACATCAGGCGGGTGCCCACGGTGGTCACGGAGGCTAGGGTACCAGGCTGCTGAGCCTTCCTGACCCTCAGGCTCCTGTAACTGCACTGGGCTGGAGCCTGGGAGGGGCCGAATGGGGCACGGTCCCTCCCCAAAAGCCAGGACCCCCATTATTTAACAGGGACAGAGTTTCAGTTTTGTAAGAGGAACAGAGTTCTGGAAACGGATGGTGGTTAATGGTTATTCAACAATGCGAATGTACTTAATACTATCAAGCTGTATCCCTAAAAAGGGTTAAGATGTAAAGTTTGTTATTTGTATTTTACAACAATTAAAAAAAATTTTTTTTTAAGTCAGGACTCCTAGCTCCAGCCCTGCAGGGGGGGCTTTCCCTGAGCCCCTCTGCTGACCAGGAGTGAGGCCCAGTCTGTCCCCCTACTTGTGACAGGCTCAGCACCCACAGACTCCTTGCCTGGGCCTCCCTGCTGGGTCCCCATCCTCTGCCCCAGTTCCAGACTGAGGTCACCCCAGGATGAGCACACCCCAGTCACTGGCTGCCTCTCTGACACCTGACCCCAGGCAGGCCTCCCTCCTTTCTCCTGCCTGTGGTCTACACCCAGGCTCCCCTGATCCCAACCTACTTTCTACATTTTAATATAATTTTTTATTTTTATTGTTTTTATTGTGATAAAATGTACATAACACAAAACTTGACCACTTTAAGCATTTTGAGTGTCCGATTCAGTGGCATCAAATACGTTCACGTTATTGTGTAACCATCCCCTCCATCCGTCTCCAGAACTTTCTCATCTTGCCAAACTGAAACTCTGTCCCCGGTAAACACTGACCCCCCCCCAACCCCCCACACCCAGCCCCTGGTGCCCACTCTTTTCCTTTCTGTCCCTACACATCTGCCTCGTCTAGGTCCCTCACGTAAGTGGAATCATAGAGTATTTGCCCTTCTGTGTCTGGCTGATTTCACTCTGCATCATGTCCCCGAGGCTCATCCGTGTTGTTCTCAGAATTTCACCCCTTGTTTTCAAATGAAAAAAAATTTCAATTGTGGTAAAAAACACAGAACAAAATTTACCATCTTAACCATTTTCAAGAGCACAGTTCAGGGGTGTTAACTGTATTTACACTGTTGTACAATTTGAATTCCACTTCTTTTCCAGTCTGAATAATATTCCACTGAGAGAGGCCCTTTTAAAAAGTGTTCCCAGGGCAGGCTCTCGGCCAGAACAGGAGAGACATGAGCACCGAGTCAGGAGTCCCGGGGCCTCTGCCACCCAGGGGTAGCCTGGCACAAAAGGCTCACACTCTGAGCTGCTTCTGCCTGTGTCAAAGTCAAGGTGGGCTCTGACAAGCTGGCAGACAGGTGCCATGAATGACAGAGCCCGTCCAGGTGGGAGAGGGCAACACGGGTGAGGGCTGACCCTTGGGAGGAGCTAGGATTCTACTCCTGGAAAGACAGGAGCAGCCCCTGCTGAGGGCTCAAGAACACTCCCATCAGCCAAACTCCAGCTCGGAGTCCGGCACTGGGAAGACCCTCCGTACCCATTGACTCAAAAGAGCCTCAGAACAGCCCTGGTACTACTGGTCCCCATTTCTCAGATTAACCGCATCACCATCACTAAGAACACTGAACCCAGGGGCGCCTGGGTGGCTCAGTCGGTGAAGCATCTGCCTTCGGCTCAGGTCAGGATCTCAGGGTCCTGGGATCGAGTCCCGCGTCAGGCTTCCTGCTCAGTGGGGAGTCTGCTCTTCTCCCTCTCCCTCTGCCCCTCCTCCCTGCTCATGTTCTTGCTCGCTCTTGCGCTCTCTCTCAAATAAATAAATAAAATCTTAAAAAAAAAAAAAAAGAACACCGTGCCCAGCCCACCTGCCAGGCTTGTTCTAAATACTTTACTTATGTGAACTCATCTCATCCTCACACAACTAACCTATCTGATGTTCCCCATTTCCCAGATAAGGAAGCAGGCTCAGCGATGCCAGGTCACCTGCCCGCTGTCACCCAGGGGAGCTAGAATTCAAATCTGTGTCTACTCTAAATCCTGCTCCTCACCACTGAGCTGCCAGTCCTCCCAGACACCCCATTCGCAGTGCCACTCCCCACCCCATGACCATTCCGGAAAGCTGATCCTCCAGGGGCCCCAGAGGGACAGTTCCCCGGGCCCCTCTCCCACCTGGCGTACCTCGATACCAGATGACCCGGGGTGGGGGCACCCCAGACACCTCACACACCAGCACAGCCTGATCCCCGACGGCGGCCAGCACCACCTCATTTACTGCAGAGACTGACGGTGGATCTGCGCGGGAGCAGATGGGGAGCTTGGGACCCGCCCACAGACTCCCTAGGTCAACAGTGCAGCTTCTCACGGTGGGGGGGCGGTGAGCGAGGACAGGGAAGGAGCTGCATCCTCTGCCTCCTCCCCACCCCCCACCACTCAGGGACCGTCACGACAGAAAGATCTAGCCACTGTTGGTTTTCTTAAAAGTTTCTGACCCAGGACCTCTAATTAAAACCAGTCACTCCTGGAACCAACCCACCCCACACACATCCGTTTCTCATTGAATTTGCCATAAAAGTCGAAACCTGGGGCGCCTGGGTGGTTCAGTCAGTTAAGCGGCTGCCTTCGGCTTGGGTCATAATCTCAGGGTTCTGGGCTTGAACCCCCAGTTGGGTTCCCTGCTCAGCGGGGAGTCTGCTTCTCCCTCTGCCTCTGCCCCTCCCCCTGCTTCTGCTCTCTCTCTTAAAAAAAAAAAAAAAAAAGCTGAAACCCTACAAGGTCCTAAATGCCCTGCATGGGCTGCCCATCCCTCCCCCTGTCCCCGTCCCCGACTCCCTCCCATCCTCTCCATACCAGCCTTCTTGTTGCCTCCTGAGCACCCCAGACTCATTCTGACCTCAGGGCCCGTGCCTCACCAGGTCCCTTTCCCATTCTTGTCTCTGGCGAGCATCCGCCCCTCGTGGAGACCTTGGCCCATCCTGTGTGTACCAGCCGTGTCCCTCCCGTCCCCACCTGCACATCACACTGCTCCCATAGCACACTCCGAAAGCACCGTTATCCGTTTGCATGCTTCTTCTGTGCCTCCCCGTGAGAATATGAGCTCGCCCCGGGCAGGGACCACGTGTTCATTGCTGAATCCCCAGGGCCTGGCACACAGCAGATGCTCAACAAGTATTTGTGGATGGGAAGGAGGGAGGGAGAGAGAGGAGGGAGGCTCTTCTGAGATGCCCCGGGCCCAGGTACCTGTATAGTAGAGGGTGACCATCTCTTCGTCTGTGCCGACCTCATTCACAGCCTGGCAGCTATAATTCCCAGCATCCTCTGGGGCCACTCCCTGAATGATCAGGGTTCCCTGGGCATCTACGTGGATTCTGGAGTCAGGCCATAAAACAACATGTTCAATGGCCAAAGGGCCAATGAGGTCCAGTCACCCGAGGACTACCTCAGTCATCACCAACAACAAATTAATTAATAGCATCACTAGCGATCGCCATTTTCTACTGACTGCTTGCTCTGTGCCTGGCTGTATGCTCAGAGCTTTGCATAGATTGTCCTTGTTAATGCATGAGGTTCAGAGAGGTAAAGCGACTTGCCCAAGGTCACACAGCCTGAATGGCAGGGGCAGGATTCAAGCACAGGTCTACTGGATTCTGGAACTAAAGCTCCCTGACCCCTGAGCTCATACTGAGGCATCATTATATTTCCAAAGTGATCTTGCTCCTGAGTCTCAAATGATCCCAGAAGAAGGCAGGACAAATGCTCCCCTCTCCCCGCACCACCCCCCACCCACCACCACCCCATTTACAGGTAAAAAGATGGAGGCCCAGAGGCATCCCCCAGGAGTCCTTATTCACCTGCTCCTGGTCCCAGAGCCCCTGGCCCTGGGCCCCTCACCTGCTGTCCTCTTGCAGAGCATGACCCCCACGGCTCCAGGAGATGTGTGGTGTGGGGTATCCAGAGGCTGAGCAGCTGATGTTCACCTCCATACCCTGGGAGAAGTGCTGGGACCGGGTGTGGATGCTGACCTGGGGGGCCTCTGCAGTATAAAGAGTGGACAGGTGGGGAAGAGCCTGTCAGGGCAGCCATGCTGTTCCAGGTGCCCAGCCCCAGCCTCCTCTCCATCCCCAAAGTCACAGATGGGCCAGACGTAGGAAGCAAAGGCCCCAAGGGGCCTGAATCCCCAGGGAGTGGCTTTCCTGGGAACTGGGGTTGACCAGGCAGCCGCCCAGGCCACACAAAGTGGCTTTCCTAATGCCCCCACAGGTTCTGCTCCAGGCTGAGCATCTTGGAGAGGGTCAGGCAAATAGGCAGATGCCAGAGCTGGGGACAACTCTCACCTCCAGTGACCTTGAGTGGACCCCAAGGCCTGCCCGAGTATTGGCCCCAAACCTAGGTTCTATTCACAGTACAATAGGCTTGTTGGACTCAAACAGACCTCACCAGGCCAACTCACCTAGAAAACGTAAACAGGCCCCTCCCATGTCAGTGGCAGACAAAGCTAATAGATATGGCAGAACCTAGACATGGCCTCAGAATCCTTCTCAACACACTCCAGGCAACCAACCAAGAATTGCTGGCACAAGAGAGAACAGTTGTCCCAATAGGCTCATTTTCACACTTGGAAAAATAGCAGCCCAGAAAGAAAGATCTGTCTAAACCCTGGGTAGACCCGACGTGACCTCCAGGTCCTAAAACTCCCAGATGGGGACTCTTTCCACTGCCTCCCCCGACCCCATCTGGTCGGTGCCACCCAGCCCCTGCCAAGCACATCTGATCTCTGGACTTCCAGGAGTTTCCTGCATTCCATTCCTGCCCTTCATATGGGGGGGGAGGGGCAATGGAGGTGCTCCACGGCATGGGAAATCAATAGGACAATGAAATCGGCTTGGCCTACAGCAGCAGAAATTTAGGTTAGATATTAGGGTGAACTTTCCAACAGGGAGAACCCCTAAACTTATGCTAGGAGGCTACAGAATCCTCTTTCTCTGGAAATTCAGAAGACAGTCACAGGACTAATGTTGCCTGCCCGACGTGATGCCTGGGCAGAGGCATGGATCAATGGGCTCTGGGGAGGAGCACTAGGGAGTGTGTTCCATTGGAAGGACAGACAGCAGTGGAAGGCAGAGCCTCACCTCGCACCAGGAGCCAGATGGATGCCCTGGTGACCCCATTGGCGTTGCTGGCCATGCACTGGTACCGCCCACCGTCGATGGGGATAACGTCGCTGACCTCCAGGGATAGGTTGGCCAGCTGGGCGACTCTGCCCGTCGAGGCCGACAGGACTCGCCAGTCCCGGATCCACGTCAGGTTGTAGGGGACATCACTCAGGACCTGGCAGGACAGGACGGCGGTCTCCCCTGGGGACACGGTGATGTTGGGGGCAGGGACTAGCTGCGGCGGGGGGTCTGAAGGAACAAAAACAGAGGAGACTGGGAGGGGGCGGACACAGAGAGAGGGCCATCCTGCCAGCGCTGGGGGTGTCCTGACTCCAGAGTCCCGCACGGGATCCTTGAAGACACGTTGTCCATCAGAGCAGTGGAGAAGCATCTGCTCACCATCCCAGGCCAGCGCCGCCCCGGGAGGAGGGCCCATTTCCCCCACATCCCCCCACTTCCCCACCACCATCACACCCCCGACGAGGGCCGCATGGCACATGCGTGCTTTTCGCACGACAGCCAAGTGCAACATGGACCAAGATCCCCACTACTCTTCTCACCCCGTGAGCCAGGAACTCCCCTCTGGGGAATACAGCCTAGGAAATCACCGTCAAGAGGGAAACAGTAATGAGTACACAGCTATTCTCTGTGCAGATCGCAGGAGGATCCTCACAGCCAAAATGTACCACGGAGGCCACTGCCCCAAACGAGGAAAGAGCTGAGAAAACCACTATCTTGACAGGAAAAAAGGGTAAGTGATCAGATCAGAGACCATCTAACCAGGGATGTGGGCCCGAGCGCTCGCAGGGAAAAAGCTGGGTCCACACAAGCTACACGTGTCAATGACCTGCTGTCACAAAGAGCATGTGAACTTCACAGCCCCGAAAAATGATACTGCAGAAACCAGCCAGAAATAATATTCTGGGGCAAATGAGAAAATCTGACTGCAGCCAAATTAAATAGCATTAAGGTATTATTGTTCATTTTATTAGGTGTAATCATAAAATTTTTATTATATGGGAAAATGTACTTTCTAAAAAAAAAAAAGAGTGATAAATACTGAAATGTCAGGATGCCTACAATTTAGTTTAAAATAGTCTAGCCAGAAAGCGAGAAAGCAAATATGGCAAAATTTTAGCGATTAGTAAGTCTAAGGAATGGGTGTGTGCGTTTCCTTATACTGTTCCCTTTTCCTGTCCTTATCATTTATAAAAAGTAAAACCATGGGGCGCCTGGGTGGCTCAAGTCGCTTAAGTGTCCGACTCTTAATTTCGGCTCAGGTCATGACCTCAGGGTTGTGAGATCGAGCCCCACGTGGGGAGTCTTTCTCTCTCCATCTCCCTCTGCCCCTCACCCTCCTCAAATAAATAAATCTTTAAAAATTTTTTAAGTAATAGAAAATTTTTAAAAATATAGAAGTAAAACTGTTAATTCATTCTGTAGAAGCATGTTTGCAGACACATTATATTGTTAGATGATAAAAAATCAGGTTGACATATGTGTATGTACGTGTAATACATATGTATAATACTATCCCATTTTCTTAAAATGCGCACATAGATAAAGGTCTAAAAGGAAGTAAATTAAAATGCTGTGGAGGTTGGGGTGCCTGGGTGGCTCAGTCGGTTAAGTGTCCGACTCTTGATTTCGGCTCAGGTCATGATCTCAGGGTCGTGAGATCGAGCCCCAAGCGGGGAGTATGCTTGGGATTCTCGCTCTCCCTTTGCCTCTCCCCCTCAATCCCATGCTCACTCACTCTTTTTCTCTAAAATAAATAAATAAATCTTTTAAAAAAATGCTATGGAGGTTGTCTCTAGAATAAGACCACAGGTTATCCAAATCTTCTTTTGCCTGTCTGTACTTCCCCCCGTCTTCCTGCCAGGAGCATGGCAGTCTGTGTGAGATTAGAGGATGCAGACTGACTAATCTTTCCATGTTCCTTGGGCTCCTTTTCTTCTCTTCAAGACAGTTTAGATTCTTGATTTAAAAAACGGAGCCCATTTCGTTTCTAGACGGCCTGTGACATCTCCAAACTTCCTGAGCTGGATGGTGCTATCCTGGCAGGGACCTGGAGGCATTAAGGGAGGGGGACTTCCGGATGGACAGTGGCCCCTGGAAGGGCCTAGGGGAGGAGGGCATGACCCTAGCCGGGCTCCTCAACCTTCCTCCATCTGAGATCCACAGGCCGCTCCTGGGTGACAGCCCAAACGGGGCGCCAGGGGGCAGGTGGCAGCATGGGCAGTGGACTCTGGGGAATGGACAGTCCCCGGCAACTTGCTGGCATGCTCCCCCCGCAGATGGAGACGCCCTGGGGCAAACCCTAGAGGGAAAAATCAAGAAGGGGTGGGGAGGGTATACGAGGGTATACGAGGACGGGCCGAAAGGACAGACCTGTGACAACAATCTGGGCCTTTGCTCGTCCAGTCCCAGCCCTGCTGATGGCCGTGCACTCATACACCCCTTCCTCGGTCTTGGAGGCCCGTGGGATCTCCCAGCTGCTGTTTCCCGACACCCTGCAAACCCAGAACAGCTGGAGACACACAATCCCACTGACCCCAGCCAGGGTCCCCCAGCTTCGTCCGGTCCCTAAACCCTGCCCAGAGGGAACAAATCCTCTTGGAGAGGCTGTCTGACTCTTCTTACCACCAAGGACATGCAAATTTTACAACATGCTGTGTGACTCTGAGCAAGTCCCTTTCCCTCTCTGAGCCCCAGACTTTCATGCATGAGGGGGCGGGTCTCAGACGGTCCTTCCTGTTCTAACCCCAGGAGCTGGGCCCTGCATGGGATGAGTGTTCCAGAAGCTGGGGAGGCCCACAGCTCCTTCACAGGGTGATGACCCAGCAGCGGTGGGAGCTTTGGGGACCACCCTCCCCCATCTCGGGCCATGCTGCGAGGTGCCCAGGAGGACATTATGACCGAGACCAAAGGTCCTTCTCCCGCCACCCACTCCCCTCAGACCCCCGCGGCTGGGGACACTGGGCGGCCGGCACCCACTCACTGCAAATGCCTCTCCTCGCCCAGCCTGGCTCCGTTCCGCTGCAGCTGTAGCCGGAAGGGCAGGGTGCTGTGCACAGAGCAGGAGACCAGCAGGGGCTGGTGCAGGTAGCCATGGATCCTGGGGGGCATGCTGACCAGGGGGGCACCTGTAAGCAAGGCCCAGCAGTGAGGATCCTTCCCTGCCGCCCCCCACAGCCCGCCCTTGTCAGCGATGCAGAGACTGCCGGGATGAGCCAGGATTCCATCCGGTGGTCACCAAGAACAGGTTGCTTTGCCCATGCCAGCTCAGTTTCCACCTCTATTAGATGGGCTTCATCCTGGTACTGACGTCCCCATGCTGTCTGGGGAGTTGGTGAGAGACAGGGCATGTGCACACGGCATGGCAAGCCCCCTCGGGATGAGCTCCTGCTGTTTCTGTGGTTTGTGGGAAGACCAGCCGAGATGGACCAGTCTGCGCCCCCGCCTTCTCCACTGTCCAGGACATAGAAGTCAGACCAGTCCAGAGATCTGATGAAATGCTCCCCAGATTGGGCTCTCTGCGCTTCCAGACCTCTCATCTGCCTGGAGGGTCAGTCTCACTCAAGGATGTTGGAAGAAAGCCTTTTTTTATATTTAAAAATAAGCAAAGCTGGAGTATGGCTGTGAACCCAAAGTTCACACGCATTTCTGAGATAAAGTAAGAGACTTAATGAAATCTCACAGTTTGTGATGAGCCCCGTGGGGCCCCCTGGAGACACCCTCCCCCACCTATCCCTGGTCTTGGGGTGACACGTTCTCTCTCCTTGGCTATTGGAATTGCTTCAGTGGGAAGGTCTGAGAACACCCCCACAGGGTCAGTGACTGCCATCAGGGCCTCGCTGGGGGATTGCAGGCGTAGGCTCAACTCTCGTCCTGCCCTGCCCCCCCCCATCCCCACCAGAGATGCTCCGTGGGTGAGACAATGCACCAGACGTCCTCCGAGCCCAGAGCTGGGGGTGGGCGGGTGGCGGGTGACATCATGCTGCAGGCTCCCTGCCACATCCCAGGGGAGAGGGATGTTGGACTATCCAGCCACGTCCTCAGCTGTGTGCAAAGCAGCCACTGCTCACCCACACACACTGGAAGCCTCTCCAAGGCCAGCTCAGGCTCCATCCTCCATGAGCTCAATGGGCCCAGGGACCCGAGGCCCAGCCCTGCCACCCGCCCATGTCTCCCAAACCCAGAGCCTCCTGCTCGAGGCCAAACTCCCAGCTTCCCAGACCTAGAAGGTGGGGAAGGAAGGAAAACTCCAAGCCACCTCCCTTCTCCCTGCCCTGCCAACACAACACACACACACACACACACACACACATATACACACACACACTTTCATCTAGAGCTGAGGTGAAGACCAAAAGCCAGAGCTTAACTCCAAGCCCTTAGATTCATCTGAAAGACCAGGAGAGAGAGAAACAGAGGTTGCTACTGCCCCTGCTGAAACTCCTTCCTGAAAATTCCTCCTTGGGGTTATATAAGCCAAGGGACAAGGGGCCCAGGGACCACAGCAGGGGAGTGGAGACCAGGAGGCTGAGAGAAGGGGGTCCCCAGCCCCCCACCCTGCCCCACTTGGGTTCTCAAAGTCCTTCACCTCACCATGGGCACCTTGGTGGCCTCCATGCACCCCTACTTGAAGTAGACAGAGGAGTCTGCCCCTTGTCAAGAGATCCCCAGCAAAGATGTTGGGTGTCAGTGACATCCATCTCTGTGTGCTCCCCCCAGGCCACTGCCATGGGAAAGGGGGTAGGGATCAGGAGGAGGGAACAAAGCCCAACAAGGAGGCTGTTGGCCAGTGAACTCAGATACCCCAGGCTAGGATCAGAGGCAGAGCCAGAGAGCTGAAGACTCAGCCCTGTGCTCTGGAAGCTTCTGACCTGGATGGGAGACCTCAGGGACACAAGGGAACGAGCAAAAAGCCACACATGACCAAGGATAGGACCATAAAATGACCTGTGCCCACAATGACATGAGAGTAACAGCAGTTGCTACATATGGGGGGCCCTGGCCCACAATGCCCACATCCTGGGCACAGCCTCAGGGTACCCAAGAGATGTCTTGTTATGTGTATTAGCTTATGGAACCCCTAGGGCAACCCTGTGAGATGGGTATCATGAGCTTCTTCATCTGTAAAGTGAGGACACACCTCAGAACTATTACAAGCACTCAGTGAGCTACTGTATGGCAGGTACTTGGCTCAGGATTGTCCCATGAGAGGTGCTCAAGACAGTGACTGGTATTACCATGATTATGGTTATGGAAGAGCACACCCACATTCACTGCCATGCCCCCCGCTGTGCCTACAGTGCCTAGCACCATGAAAAACACAAAAATGAATGCTAGATGGATATTTGGATGGATGCATGCATGCATGAGTGGGTGGGTGGATGGATATTTGGACGGATGGATAGATGCATGGACGAGTAAGTGGGTGGATGGATGAATAGGCAGATGAATGGATGGATGTTTGGACCAATGAGTGGGTGGGTGGACAGATGAATGGGTGAGTGGATGGATAGATGTAAGGGTGGGTGGATGGATGGATGTTTGGACCAATGAGTGGGTGGGTGGACAGATGAATGGGTGAGTGGTTGCATGGGTGGGTGGATAGATGGATGGCTTGGTACTAAATCCTTGACCTGACTGCTACATCTGAAGCATCTCAGTATTTAGCATGATGCATTGCAGAGCGTGCTGCTCATAGAAGTTTAATGAACTTTTCCTCATCTCATCTAATCAGGGAAGGTTTCCAGGAAGAAATGGAGTCTCCAAGTGAGCCAGGGAGCTGGGAGCAGTGAGAGCCACTCACTCACCTGGGACCACCCCACTGTAGGAAACTCCAGAGACACGGAGCAGGGGATTCCCCTCGTGGTCTTTGCCCTTCACCTTGAGGTAGAAGCGCTCCTGGGGGGCGTGGAAGGGTGGTCCGCCCCACAGCTGATGCGTGGATCCGTTCGAGAGGGGCCTCGTGGGCAAAGTCAGGAGGGACCGCCCTGAGCTGTGTGAGAGCTCCACCGAGTCCAGGCGGCCGGGTGCCTGCAGGCCCGTGGAGTTGATCACCAGGGAGATGGGCACCCCTGCAGAGGGAAGGGTGAGGAAGAAGATCCTGGCGTCTGTTCTGGGCTCCATGATCCTCTCCAAGCAGGGGCCCTCGGACCACAGTCAGGGACCCAGCCTGCTTGGCCCTCTTACCGGCTTGCTCACCTTCTGTTCCCTGTGCCACCTAATGCTGGGGGTGGATACAGAGGGGGCCTGCTACTGTCCGTGGTCCTGAAACGCCACTGTCCATCCAAACCATGGCTTCCCACGACTGCAACACCTCCAGTCTGCAGACTCGGGCTCACGTGGAGTAGAACTGGGAGAGGGCATTTCTCTCCACCCTAACCCGCCCCCCCCATTAACTCTGGAATTGCATCACGTAGGTTCTGGGACCGGCCTCAGTGAGACACACGCTAGTTTGGGAACTCTGGTTCCTGTTCATCCTCCCTCCTCTGTTCAGCTTTCCTTTGATTTTCCTTCTGTTTTATTAGAAATGGACTTTTCACACTATCCCAGAAAACATAAAATTGGGGTTGGGTTTCATAATTCCCTTAGTTGATTTGGGAATGTCGCTCAGGTCTTTCCCTTTTCAAACAGTTATTATTTTTTTCCTTAGAGATCATAAACCAGGAAACACAGGGTGTGGTTGGTATGATCCATCAAATGCCTTAAAATCTTTAAGAAACATGGAACAATCTGGAAAGGGCATATAAAAATCTGGAAGTCCAGATTCCTTTGAAAAAGAATGTGTGTCAGTGCTGGGCCCCATCCCCATGTTGCAACAATCAGCCAAGGGCATGCTCCCTGTGGTGGGGCAACCACTACCCTACTCCCTGATGCCCCTTCAGTGAAGCCAAGTGCCAAATGCTATTTATCACTTGCAATCGCCCTGCTGTTTCTCTCTCCTTTTTTTTTTTAAACTGTCTTGGACCCACCTCTTTCTCAAAAGCAGAAACCAAAGATCGCATGTGGCCCGCCTTCAACCTCTTCCACTGGGGACTGGCCCTAGGGGCCCTTCAGTTTTCAAGCACTGCAGTTAGGATTTTTTTCTCTCCTGGCTCTAGAAGTTTCCCTGCCTCTCCCCCTTCCTACCACTGGGAAAAACAAGCACTAAATAAGCAAACGGCCCCCTTTTGCTTTGAAGATGTTACCGCTAGTCCTGGCAGAGAACCAACCAGGGCTGACAAGGATGACAAAGATTAGAGGAAATGCACATTCAAAAGCTCTAAGGATCTGGCATCTACCATTTGGGTCACCAGTCAGTGATCTGGAGTTAGCCTGACCTAGTCTAGGTCCCTCCCCATCTCCCTTCTGAGCTGGACCCAGCAAAATCCTCTGAAGGGCCCCTGGTGAGCGATCATACTTCCCAAACTATAAATTGGGACCCCTGACCTGGCCACCAGATGGTATTTTCTGGCATGAAGCTCTGGCAACCTGAGCCAAAAGCCCCTGCCTGCTCTGGAGCCCAGGCTTCTCCAGATGGAACCATGATGGGGCACACAGGCAACACCAGATCCCAGTGGGCAGCTTCTAACCAGAAAATCGACCTTATGCCTCCAACTCTAACATCTCCCTAGGCTCCCAACCCCCACCCAGCCTGCACAGGGCCCATTCTAGCTACATACTTAGGGCCTGCCCCCCCCACTTCCAAAAGGCAAGCCCCACCTCTCCAGAAAGCAGCTCTGCATCGCCCCCAGGGTCAGGAGCACTGTACCTTGCAGGGGCCACTCAATGGTGTGGTTGAGGTCCAGAGAGGGCTGAGTGGAGAAGCCAGCTCGGAAGTCGATGTTGCTGACACCTGTGATCCTCACTGAATGGCGACCACTGCTATAGACCTAGCACAGACCCAGACCCCATCACCAGGGCGCCCGACGCCAGCTCCAGGGCAGAAGGTGGCCACCCTGACCTGCCTCCGGTGCCCGCAGCTGCAGTTCTCCCACCTTTACAGACACATGGGCAACTTCCCTGCTCGCTGGGGGCCCAGCGCTATGCTCCCAAATGCAGTAGAAGAGGCCCCAGCTATGGCTCTGTCCTGAGCGGGACTCTGGAACCTGCTCTGCCTTTCCAGCTACCCCTCCCAACACCCACAGCCCCGTCTGTCCCCCTGCATGTCTAATCCCCGCCTTGCCTCCCCACTGGCAGTGGAGCTCTTGGCTCAAAAATGCTCAGAGTTGGGATGCCTGGGTGGCTCATTCAGTTGGGCGTGTCTGCCTTCGGCTTGGGTCATGATCTCCAGGTCCTGGGATCGAGTCCCGAATCAGGCTCCCTGCTCAGTGGGGAACCTGCTTCTCCCTCTGCCTGCAGCTCCCCCTGCCTGTGTGTTCTCCCTCTTTCTGACAAAAAATGAATAAAAATCTTTAAAAAAAAATGCTCAGAGTTTGAAGGGCAGGGTCAATGTTGCCCCTTCGTCGGTACCATCCACACCTAGCTCAGGGCTTGGCACCTAGGACGTGCTCCATAAACATTTGCTCAACCATCAGGAGCTCACATCCTTCCCAGGCAGCAGCCTGCCCCATCCCAGGACCCTCTGCCAGGAGCCCAGCCTACCCCCAGTCCCTGGACTCCAGCACCTTGCAGATTAGAGCAGGCCTACCTCCTCCTGCCAGGCATGTCCCTCTAAGCCATCCTTCCCCCAAGGTCACCCTTGCTTCCTTTGTTCATTCTTCACAGGATAGGTTTCTGAACCTCAAGCCGGCTTGGTCACCCACCTCTGGACACTCAAGCTGTTTCTCCAACTCCTTCTTAAAAGTTCCCTAACTAACCCCAAACCACTCTACTTCCTCTCACTGCTGCAAAGCAGAATACTCCTCCTCTGTTCTTGACCCTTTGCTTCTATTGATATGTCCCCGTCACCACCCATACTCCAGCCCTCAGCTTCCCAGGGCCCCAGCTCCCCAGGACAGGCAGGAGGGAGACAGGGTCTTGGCTTGGTGAAACCGGTCCCCCTCCCTGGGCACCAGGGCCCCCCTACCTTGATGGACCACAGCCCAGGATGCTCAGGCTTAAAGGCCACAACCTTGGCGGAGTCAGGGATGTTGAGAAGCACGTTGAGGCCCTCATCCTTCTGTAGGATCTTCCCTGTGGAACCCCCAAGGATTTCTCAGTCCCTGATCCTTTCCTGGCCATGACAGAGGCCCCAGCCTGTCCCCAGGAGCCCAGGGCCCTCCAAACACCAGCCTCAGGCTTCCCAGAGTAACTGACAAGAGACCTTTGGTGGTGCTCGGCCCTTCACTTCATTCTGTACTCCACCCTCACCCACCTCCAGGTGGGGGTTGGACACCTCGCCTCTAGACCTGGGAACTCGTGACATCCTCGGAGCACCATGAGGCCAGGTGGCTGGGTCCAAATCACACTGACCCTAGGTGACCTGGACAAGTCACTCCACCTTCCAGAGTCTCAATGGCGTGCAACTAATTCTTGCCCTGACTGACCTGCTAGGCCACTGTAGGGATCCGCTGAGAACATGGGGAAGACCACACATGAGCCTCACATCCCAGGGACTGTGGTTATCTTAATTCCCCTCGCTTGGCTGCTAACAGCCTCCCTGCTTCCTCACCCACCACAGGCACCCTCTCTGCCCTCCATGTGGCATCCCCCCTCCCTCCTTGTTCCCGGAGCCTTGTGTCCAAACCCCCTGCCACCCCGGGTCTCTCTCTTTATCCCATCCTGGACTCCTAGCTCAGTCTCGGAGTCAAAGATGAGGCCCGTGCTGCACATACCCAGTGGGTCACGGACTTCGATCTGAGGCCCTGGACCGCTCAGGGAGATGGTGACCTCCTTCAGGCTGGGGTCAAAGGGAATCTTCCACGTATGCTCGCCCTCTTCCTTGTGGTCCGTGGACAGCAGGTGCACCTTGGTGGCCTGGACCGCTGACTCTACCCACTTTAGCACCTGGGAGGCAGGCGTGAGAAGTTGATGCCAGCAGGTGCCTGTGGTCTTGCTTAGAACTGACCCACTGGAGGCAGGTCTCTAATAGGTTCCCAGCAGAATCCAATCCCCCACCTGGGTTTTAGGCAGCATATAGGCTTTCCAGGTCACCCAAGGCCACCCCCACTCCCACTGCCCTACACCAGGCCAATTTACATTTCATTACCTACCTGGCCTATGGGCTGGGAGCTGTGACACCCGAATTAAGGCTACTTGGAGGGAAGGGCCAATCTCTATGGCACCCATTACTTCCTCCAGGAAGGCTTCCTGATGCCTCCTACACACAGGTGAACCCTGGAGATCTGGAATCTCCCCCGGAACAATGCAATTCACCATCACCCCAAGGGGCCTCAGACCACCTTCCCACCAGGGTGTCATGCTCTCTAAGCAGGCCTGAGAGGGTCTGCTGCAAAGACAGAATCTCCTCCTGATCCGTTACACAATATTGAGAAATATTAAATCCTTAAATCCTATAACTGCAGATTCATTCTAAAATCTTAAGCAGGTAACAGGTGAGGACTCCCCCTCCAGACTACCAGACCACCTAGGTACATGTTTAAAGTATGATTTGGGGGGATTCTCAAACTCCCTCAAGCACCCCCTTTGAATGCATAGACCCCATGTCAGCAACACTGGATCCAGTCTAAGATATCTCACTGAGCACAAAATTATTGAGTTTCTCCAAATCCTCACCATGGTCTTCAAGACCCTATATTCTGTCCTGGGTTTTAGGCAGCTGTCCAACCTGACTCAACGTCAGTGTGCCCCTGACTCTCCCCATGCTTGCAGGGTCGGACTCCCATGGTTGGACCCCCATGATCCCACCACACATGCTTCTCTCTTGCAGAAATGACCTGCACTCTCTTTATCAACCAATTCCTGGCTAGATTCATACCTGTCTCCCCTCTTGGCCTGGGAGCCCCATGAGGGCAGAGACCCTCTGCTATGCCCCGAGCTCCGTGGCTGGCACAGAGAGGGTGTTCGGGAAGCTTCTGTTCACTGTGTGTGATACAGCAGGGCATCCACCTCCTTAATAGGGGCATCAGATTCACCTTACAGACACCTCACTCCGTTCCACCCCCAAACCAGCCTTGTAATAGCCACACCTCCCAGTTTCCCGTTAGAAAACCAGGAACGAGGATGAAGAGGGGGCCTCCTTCCAGGCCAAGTTACTTTCACGTTTTCCCAGGATGCTTCTTGAACTAAACAAATGAAACATGAACGTCATTGTACAACAAATGAGCACCATAGCCACGGAGAGAAAAAAAAGAGCTCCTCGTGTACTGAGAACCCAGGGGTTCGACTGAACTTTCCCAGTGGAAGGCACCCTGAGGACAGAAAGAACTGCAAAGAAATTCTTATTTCGTAGCTTTGAGTTGGGCACAACCATCAATACTGTGCTCATAAAACTGTTTTATGTATCTTGCAGGATAAAGCAAAGAAGTAAAAGATGTTAAGGCTTGCTGAACGAAGATTTTCTCTTACAGCCAAGTGTAAGAGAGAGTTGCAAGTATTTTATTTATATACAAATTCATTCCAAGTGAATTTATAACCCGGGGGTTTCTCAATACCATTCCCCACTAGGATTGTTTGGAGAAATGGCTGATTCCAGGTCTGGGGCAGGTGACTCACAAGGTAAGCCTGAGACAACTGTTAGTTCCATTAAGCAAGGAAGTTCTCAGAGACTAATGGGACATATCAACAGGATACAGGAACCAGCCGAAGGGCAATCCCATTAGCTAAATCTGGGGGAACTTGAGCCCCCCAAAAATAATGACTTGAATCAACACAAACACATCCAATTAAAGAATCCGTGTGCCCATAATAGTACTCGAAAAAGAATAGCAAAATTCAAACAATAAAACCTCTTGCCACCAATGAAGGCAACTTCTTCATTAAAGAGAAAGAACTAAGTATGATCCCTGCCTTTTCAATAGGTTTTCTGTGCTTCAAAAAACCAAGTCATCAAAAGCTCTTCTTCATGGAAGGATGCCCACTAATAAATGTGCAAGAGATGAAATGTCCATGTGGAACCCCAGCATTACCCCCACAGACCACTTGAGCCATAAAGGGAAAAAGATGTCCCTACAATACAGAGAGCTGGCTGTCACCACCTTCACCTAGGGACCAAACCTACTGTCAGGAATAGCAGGACAATCAGACATGACTTACCTCCTGGTGTGATGCAACAGAAAAGACACACAGCACCAACCATGAAACATTCCTGCCCCAAACGCTGGCCTCCACTAATCAGTCCCTTAGAGCTAACTGCCAGGTTAGGGGATATACAGCGGGAGAAAGGAGCAAATTAATGACATAAGGAAGCAATCAGATGAATCTGGAACCCGGGGTATTGTACAATCAAGGCCTCTCCAACAAGTTAGTGGCAGAAAAAAAAAAAAGGGTAGAAGGCTCCAGATGTAATCAGACTTAACAGACATAATGAGCAAATGAAATGCACGGCCCCTGATTAAATCCTGATTTGACAAAAACTGTTACCAAAGACATTTTGAGGACAATTAGGGAAATTTGAATTTGAACTTGGCATTGGATAAAGCAGCAAAGTACTCTTCACTTTATTAGAAGATATTGTGGGTTACATCCAAGATCATATTTCTTTTTTAATTCATACTGAATTATTTACAGAGAAGATAGAACAGAGAGATAAAGCAGGTGGGGCAAAAATGGTAAGTGCTGAATCTAGTTGGGACACAGGTTCTTCTCACCCTTTAAGATCTTTCATAGTAATTTTTTTAAGTAAAAGTCCCTTAAAAAGAGCAAGTATGCCATGACTTTCATGTATACCCCTAAGCAACCACAGTGGGGATCTGTTGCCAATTCCAATCAACTGGAAGTGATATTGTCGGACAAAATCCAAAGCTGCATTTGGTCACAGAGAGGAGAACGCTCTGTGATTGATGAGTAATGTCTGCCACAGATACAGGATGAGAAAAGCAGTATCTTATGTGCTGCATATTGGCCACCCTTGCTCTGAATCATAGTCCTACCGTGCAATCCTCCACGAAAGTGAACAGGAAAAGAAGGGAATTGGACGAACTGCCCAAGATTGAAAAAGTGAATATGTTTTATTCAGACTGAGCTGGAATGCTGGTGCCTAGATTTTAGTTATCCCAGGATAAGAACCCTGTGTTCTGAAAACTCACTTGTCTGTATGCTTGGAGCTCCCTCCTTCTGTTTTGCCTCGCTTTCTAAGTAATGTTTCTCTTGACAACGTTCTCCGTGCACACGGGAGCTGGCTGGAGGAAGCAGCGGCCAAGGCCTCCAGCTGGAGGGATGGACAGAAGCTGCCGAGGTGAGGCAACTGCCCCCACCCCAAAGCCACAGCCCCCTGATCACTGTCCTCTTCCCCCACCCCCCAACCCCAGGGTCATGCCTTGTCAGGGGTTGAGAGGAAATCACAACTGAGCAAAGCTGCTGGGAGGCGGCAGCAGCACTAGCTGACACCGTCCCAGAGAGATCACACCCACTGCCGTGCTGCAACTGTCATTACAAGCCTGTCCTAAGATGTTCCGACAGAGGGACGATGCCCAGGAGTTCAGGCTACTGAACCTCAGAGAAGGCTCACACAGAGGACGATGCCAGTGACCCCACCAGGAGGCGGCGTGCCTCCTGTCCTCCTGCCACGGGGTCTGTCCCTAAGCACATCACAGCCAGGGAGCTGGGGGTGCTGACCGTCTTGCCCACAGCAAGGCCAGACCCCCGGTAGGCCCAGGCCTGCAGACAAGGCTTTCTGGACGCTGCAATGCCCCCAGGGCTCTGGGCAGAATGTAGGGAGCCTTCTGAGCAGAGAGCCTTCATCCAGCAAGCTCAATGTTTATTTGGCGGAGACAATGGCTTCCAGATGTTAGCAGGACTGGGGGCCTGCGAGCCCGAGCTGCAATGGGGCTCATCTCTTTGTCACCGATAGGGAAGGAACGAAAGAATCTGGCACTGCTACCCCGGCCAGATGGCTGCCGCTCGGCCGTTCACGGCAGATAAATCATCCCCTGAGGCTCCTCCCCGGACACTTGACAACCAGGGCGGCCGAGGAAGCAGAGAGGAGAGGCCAGGGGGCCTAGAGGGCCTCAGAGCCACAGAGCAGAAAGCTGGGGCCCGACTGTGGGGCCTGGGTCAGGAAGCTCGGTGGGCAGTGATGGAGAGAGAGCACCAGCCCCTTCCAGATGCGCACCGCTGGGCACTCAGGTCCTGAGCACCTGTTCCGAGAGAGCCCTTACTCTTCAGGGGGCTTCACTGGAGCCGGGCATACGTTCTGGGCTCCATACCAAAGCAGGGGGCTAGAATCACAGCCATCACTAACTCTTACCAAGGGCTTCCCAGTGCCTGCCGGTCACCCCTGTCTCACTAGGCAGGGGCTCTCTTAACCCACTGTGCACAGGAGGAAACAGAGGCCCAGACAGGTTAAGTACTATGTTCAAGGTCACCCTGCAGGCAGGTGGCAGGGCTGGGGTCTGAAGCTGGCATGGGGCCCTAACCTTCCACCACGCTGCCTCCTCCCGGAAGAATCCAGAATGAAGTCATCTCTAGGGCCTGTGCCTCCTGATCTGTTAATTGGAACCACCTGGTCAGACCTCCCTTCCTCCCCCACCCCCCCACACTTACTGTCTTAGAAGGTGGTTCACCTTTCCCCTAGTTGATGTGCAGAATCTGGGCGATTTGGCATATTTGTACGGGCTGGTGCTAGACAGGGGAAGAGGCTGGGCTCCCAGAACAGACTTCCCAGGAGCAGGGAAGGCTGCAGAATGAGGGGGTTTGCCCAGCAATTCTGGCCAACTTTTCTGGGGCTGGTGACAGTACACTGAGCTGGGTCTGAGCTGGGGTAAGGCTGTGCTTCGGCCGGCGGGGGGGTCTTGGACCTAGCTAAGCCTTGACCAGAAATGCACACTCCCAAAGGGCCATGGTGCCCACCTCCCCTGTCCATTGAAGGATGGCAAGAGCTCCAAATTACCCCCACCAGGAGGAGGGGATCTTCACGTTGCTTCAATTACCCTAGAACCTCAAAGGGCTACCGACAACTGGAAAAAAGCAAAAGCTCAAAAGCACTGAGACCTAACCTGGGTGGATTCTGTCTCTGTGCCCAGCACCTGGACCTGAGCTAGCCAATAGTAGGTGCATGGTAAGTGGGAAATGAAGGCAAGAGAGAATGCAGAATGTGTCCCTCTTGCTACACCGGGCATAGTGTGCAAAGGTAAAAGGACTGACTACACATGCACAGTTTTGGGGACTTTGGCAACTTCTGAGGAGTCATTCTCTTAGCTGGAGCCCCCTGGCTTGGGCAAAGGCACTATTCCCTCTCCTTGGGCAGGGGTGGGGAGCACGTGGGGGGAATGACCACAGCCCTGGCTGTCCTGGCCACTTTCCCAGGCTTGCTAAATGTCTGGGAACATCTAGAATGACACAGCTCTGTGTCCAGGAAGGAGAAGGATCCAGGCCCCTACCCAGAGGCAGCCAATCCTGGCCACTGGAGGTCCCATCACGTCAAACGCAGACTGCCAAGTCAGGCTCCCACAGCAGAAGGCTGGCCACCATGGCCAGGAGCCAGTGAATTCACCCCACTTTCCCTGCCTCAAGAGAGAGAACAGGGGAGCCCAGCCCCACACCTGGGCAAGCTGTCCCCCGCTGACCTGTCCAGCTGCCCTGTTGATTTGCCCCTGACCTTCAGAACCCAGTCACGCCCAAATAGGTCTCTCCCCAAAACGAGGACTGAGCCATCCCTCCACTCCCAAAGGCCTCCCACCCTCACTTGGGCGGCTCAGTGCCAGAGAAGGCTGACATGCCAAAAAATAAAGTCTAATGTGTCCCAGAGAACCATAAACGCCATTTGTCAACAGGGAGTTAAGGCATGCTAATCTAAACATGGCCCTGGAGACCATTCTCTTCAGTCCATAAATATATAACACAAAAAAACTCTCCTGGAGGCTACAGCAGGGCTGCTGGGGCTGGCGCCTGCCTCCCAGACACGGCCTCTCTTGCCTTCCTCTTCCCAGGGCCTCAGGCACAAGGGACCCCACATCTGTCCATTTACCAGCTATTTACTGAGCACCTGCTCCATGCCGGTAGCCGCATGAGCTGCTGGGGATACAGCAGCAAAAAGGACCCATAGTAAGGGCCTGTCACTCATTGAGCGCACAGCCTAATGGCGTTCAGTGATGCCACGGTTATAAAACTGCAGTTACGTAAAGCAGTACCAGGAGCTGGGAGAGGGTACGAAAGAAGACTTAATCTTGACGGGAAATCAAGGAAGGTCTCCCAAGGAGAGAGCATTTCAGCTAAGACTGGGAAAATGAGGAGCCAGGGGAGGTGTAGGAAAAACAAGCTGCATGAGCAAAGGCCCTGGGGTAGAAAGACATGGGACACTGAAGAAACAGCAGAGTCTAGTGGGGTGGCAGCAGTGAGCAAGGGGAAGAACACAGGTCATGGGGTCAGAGAGGCAGGAGTCAGAGAAGGCTCTGGACCTTCTCCGGGGGACAACCAGGAGAGACCCGTTGGTCAGATTTGCTTTAGAAAGATCCAGTGTACGAGAGATGGCTCATAGAGGCTCAAAAAAGTCCACTGAGAGCATCCCTTCCCAACTCTGCTCAGTGACTTCACGATGGCAGCTTGAAATCAGCCAGGGTAGGAGGATTTATACCACGGAAATGGGCATGCTTGCTCTTTTCAGGGAGGTGGTTGTGGACATTTACCAGCATGTCACTGGAAGGATCCCTCTGGCACCTGGGAGGGAACAGACATGTGGGGAGAGGGAAAGCAGGGCGAGCCCTGAGTGGCCAGTGGCGCCTGGAGGAGGGGGGAAGGACAGACACATGGTCTCGAACAAGACAAGGACACAGACACCTGGTCAGCACCGAGCTGAAAGAATCCAGATCACTGACAACCCTGTGCCTCGGGACATAGGGCCAAGCAAGCCCCCGCCTGCTAAGTCCTCCAGCAGGATCTTCTGGCCCTGAATCTGATGTCCCTTACCCCCCACCTACTCCTCTACCCACCCCTGGGTTCCCTGACTCTGGGGAGAAGCTCACCCCCTACCCCCACCTCTGGCAAACTTTGTTAGGTCCATCCTCCCAGCCTGCACCATCTGGGGGAGCCAGGATGCTTCCTCAAGTTCCAACCTCTTTACCTGCAAAATCGGGAAGTCCAGCGCACCTGCCTTTGGGGTGGGCAGCAGATAGAAGGGTCTGGCGAGGTGACGTCATACAGCCCTGAGCATTGCACTCGCTGCGCTGGCCACAGGGCGAGACATGGTGCTGCTCATCGATGGCAGCGACCCAACAGCCAGGCACAGACACCCAGAGATCCAGGATGGCCAGGGAAGGCTCACCTCGGTCACCTGCTGCTTGTCCAGGTGGAACACCTGCCCAGAGCTGGTGGCAGCGATCTCCTCGTAAGCCAGGTAGCCGGGATGAGTGCGGTCACCACAGTCCCCTGTCAGCACGAAGACCACCTGGAAGAGGGACATGAAGCCTGGCTCGGGGCTTCCCTGGCCGCCTCCTTCAGGTGTGCGCGGCAGGGCCGGAACGAGGGAGGAGGGACCCAGGGCGAGCCCTTGCCTCTCTCTGGGCTCAGGCAATGCATCTGTAGAATGGGAACGATGGGAGTACCCATCCCGTGGGGACCAGGGCTGAGGCGGGTCAAGGGTGTAGCACGGGACCAGGAACACTTCAGGTGCTCAATAAATGGGAGCCGTTACTAAATCTACAGCAAGGAAGGGAATGGAAATCGGCTCACTCCAAGCAGCCCCTGGGGAACACAAAGCTAGAAGAACCTTGGAGAATGGAGTTTGTTCCAGATGGGAGACCAGACACCAGAGAAGCCGTCCCAGCTCTTGAGAGCTTGGCGGAAGAGGTCACACAGTTGGGTGGTCCTTCCCCCTTCCCTGCACACATCCCCCCCACCCCAGCCCTGGCTGTGAAAGGGAGAAGCAAAACCCCAGCAGCAAGTCAGGCCCCCGAGGCAGTGGGAAAAGGGCCCCGCACCGCAGAGATGGGAGCAGGGGCGACGCCAGGAGGAAGATGGATTTGCACAGACTCTGATAGGGTGCGAGCGAGAGGAGCGGGTGGTGTGGTCTTTATCAAGAATGAGCCTCGCCAGGTGGCAGGAGCCCCGGCGGGCGGGGGGCCCAGAGCATGAGAACACACTTGGACTTCACCAGACCAGCTTGGTCTTGAGGGCTGGCGGCTGCACTGGCAGGGACCCTGGAGGGAAAGCAGCCGCCCTCCGCTCGGCAGGTGGGGGCTCAGGCTGCCCGCACTGGGGACCCCGGCTTCCTCAGCAGCCCTGGGGGCCCCCATGCTCGAGCCCCCCAGGCCAGCCCACTCACCTGTGACTGTTTAAGCTGTAAGAGCCGCAGGACCTCCTCCTTCTTGTGGTAGTCCTTGGCGCGGGCATCCGAGAAGACGTAGATGAAGGAGCCGGGGCTGGCCACCTCCACAGCAGCCTTGATGGCCCCCACACTCATCTCTGGGCAGTCACCGCCCCCCTGAAGGGCAGGGGTGTGTCAGGGGCTGTTGCCCACCTCTTCTGGGTGGGGCCCACCTAGGGACACCTCTGACACCAGCAGGTGGTAGGGGGAGGTCTAACTTTAGACGCGTAGCACCTTCCCCTCGCTCACCCATGCAAGAGAGGCAAGGTCCCTCCCGTGGGGTCAGCACCTCACGCTTATTTAGTTACCACTACGATGAGTGATACGAGCTGGGGAGGAGGGCTGGGAGCCCTGGGATATCTAACAGGTGCCCCCAAAGAAGCCCCATGTTAGCCGAGGCTTGGGAGAACAGAGGGTTCCAGGGGGTGGCCGGGAGAAGGAGTGGTGGGCATGGGGCAGAGAAAAGCCTTCAAAGCTGCCTCCCCAAATCCACTTCATAGCCTGCCCTGGAATCAGTCCCAAACCAGCACACGCTCCCGCCGTCCCGGACCACGGACAGGAGCTCTGCTCTGGGGAAGGCAGCATGTCCTGCCTGACCGGCTTTGCCCAGCCAGTGCCAGCAACAGGGTTTGCACATGGTCACTTTTCAGTGATGCTTCTCTCCTGGGTTCACTCATCCAGCCCACAAGCACTTCCTGTCCCCTCTATGTGCCGGGCCCTGTTCTGAGCCCCGCGGGAGCTGGCCGTGAATTAGATAGGTGGGGTCCCTGCCTTCAGGAAGCTGCTGCTGTCGGTGGGCGGGACAGATGCTGAACCTGGGTGTTCAGTGTGGCAAAGAAGCCCAGCTGGTTTTGGGGGTCTGGACTGAGACGTCTCACACCCTCCTTCCACTACCACACACCTCTTCCTTCCACTGCTTCACCCATTCGCTAAATAATAAGCACCTACAATGCGCAGGGCACAGGGACTCCCATAGGTACTTGGGTCACTGAATAAAGGAAGGAACCCCAAGAAGTACAGGATCTTCAGCATCCCCAAGCTGGGGCGCAGGTCAGAGGCAGTGCTGGGAGACAGTTCATGACAGTAGCCGGAAGCCACCATCTTGGCCCCTGGGTGGGGCAAAGACCTTGGCCTCAGGCTTGGACTGGGAAAGGAAGGGGGGGGTGAAAGCAGCCAGGGGTGGGGTGGTCCACCTGCACATAGAGTTCTCTCAGCTCTCTCTGAAACACCGCTGGGTCTGCCGTGAGGGTCACTGGGCCAATATCTGCAGGGAAAAGAGAGAGGGGCTGAGGTGGGCTTGTATTCCCAGACATACCACCTCCATGGGGTGGGGCAGCAGTTACAAGATGTGCGACCAGAAGGGAAAGAAGGTAAAACCTGGGCCCCAAAGACACCCTCCCCAACCAAAAGGGGAGCAGTAAGGGGGCAGTTTCCAGGTTTTCCAGGCCATGCAGCCCCCTGCCCTGCACCAAGCCAGGCCCAGAGCTCCAGGGGAGCACAGAGGTGAGACAGAGGGCAAACCCCCAGTTCCTCCTCAAAACCACAGTTCTCAATCTTTTCTGAACATGGCTGTCCTAGGAACCTTCCCTGTACCACTCTGCCCACCCCACCATCAGTGGGAAAGGAATTCTGGAAAGATAGAGACAGAGAACTGTCCAACACCAGACTGATCAACGAGAAGAAAATCTTCCAGAAACTCCATCCATATATTAGCTCATTTAAAAAGAGCAGCGTTAAATTGCAAAGGTTGACTACACCAAATGTAGGTGAAGACACGGGGCAACTCTAACTTCTGTCCGCTGCTGGTGGGAATGCAAAATGGTTCAACCACTTTGGAAGATAAACAGAACTTTCTAAAGCCTTAAGCATGCACATACCATGAGACCCAGTCATTTCACTCCTAGGTATTTACCCAAGAGAAATGAAAACATATGTCCACACCAAGACTTGTGCTCAACTGTTCAGAGCAGTTATATTCATAATAGCCCAGAACTGGAAGCCAGCCAAATGTCCATCAACCAATGAACGGATAAACAAACTGTGGTCTCTTCATATAATCCAATACTGCTCAGCAAGAAAGCAGAACAAGCTACCAATGCAGACAACCACACAGATGGATTTCACAGATATCACGCCGCACGAAAGAAGCCAGACACAAAAGAGTACACATTTATATGGTTCCACTTATAGAAGTTCTGGAACAGGAAGGAATAATCTAAGGTGGAAAAAATCAGAACAGAGGTTGTCTTGGGGGCTAGGGAGATACAAAGGGACTGTCAGGGAAGGCAGAAATGTTCTATAGTGTGATGAGAGTGTGGGTTCCACAGGAATAAGGTTTCTCCAAAGTGCAAAGCAAAGATTTGTGCATTTCAATGTATGTAAATTTCACCTCCTAAAGCCAGCGCTATAGAGAACAATCATCACTGAGTGGGGGTGGAGGGTGAGAAGAGGTCTAGATGAACAAGAACGGCAGAACAGTTTTGATATTTGGTGATGGGGATGTAGGGATTCATTACACTACTCTGCTGACTTTGTATATATTTGAAATGTTCCCCGATAAAAAGATTTTTTTAATAGCTGTTAATTGAGAGTCACAGCATAAGACAAGGCTATCAGGGCACTGAAAACAGGGCTAGGATCCCAACTCCCCATGTGGATGTGTGCACTAAGGGGGTTTTACAAGGTTCGTGGACGTCAAATTTCTCAGGAAAATATTTCATCTGAGTCCTTGGTGAACTCCAATAATGGACTGTTTTTAGTTCAAGAATTCTAAATTCTAGTCACCCTAAAAAAATTCCCATACTCTTCGACTAGTCGACTGACCTTGGTCCTTCTTAGGGAAGGAAGCCCATGGAATTATCCAGCATTCATCCATAATTCTCAAGGAGGTGCGGACACCAGCTCTTCTGCCCAACAACTTTAGGAACCAATCGTCCCCTGACAGCCCGTGCCTCTGTGTTCTGAATTTATTATTCATCATACCCAACACCCCTCCCTTAGCTGCTCCGGCGTTTACCAAGCCTCCCCCCTCCCCCCGGCCTCTCACTTTCTGAACTCTGCAGAATAGATTCAGCCAAACCCTCAGCCTTTGCTGACAGATCTGATTGGGATCCTGACTCCATTCTTGAGCCACGGGGCCTCTCAGACCTTACTTCACTGTCCCCAGGCTCAGTTTCCCCATCTGTAAAATGAGGCACAGAACAACACCATCTCTCCTAGCTGAGAAGCATCACTGTGAGAACGCAGTGGGGTCAGGGAGGGACAGACCCCACATGGGTCCCATGTACACAGCAAAGGCTCAGCAAATATGGCCACGTGGCTGTTCACGCTCCAGCATGAGGTCCTCAAGCTCCAGTTTGACGGAGAAAAGCAATAATTTTATTCAACATTGGTTCTTTCTTTATTACGTGATAATACATGGTCGATATTTAAAAAAAAAAAAAAGTTCACTAATGATACTGACATTTACTAAGCACTTACTAAGTCCCAGTCCATGTGCCGAGATGCTTCCCGAGCATTCGCTCGCTGAACCCTCCCTGGCACCAGGTCGGTCTCAGTCTCACCCACATTTTACAGAAGAGAACATGGAAGACTAGAGAGGTTAAGTGACTTGCCCAAAGACACACAGCCAATAAGTAGCAGGGCTGGGATGAGCCTAGGTCTGTACAACTCCAGAAACCGAGCTCTGGAGAACAGCTCCCTGTGAACTATATATAGAAATTCCTGACACAGAAACAGAAGGGAATTCTACCAACCAGAGATAGTCATTCTGATTTGTATACATAACCTTCAACACTTTCATGCATATTTGTAAACCTGCCTCTTGCACGCATGCATACTATTTTACACAGAATTTCTACCGAAGTACAAATAACATACTATTTTTAACCTAATTCTTTTTACCGAATAACATATTTTGAGCAATTTTCCAGAAGGCTGAACGCTCAGTTTCAAAATCATTTTTAATGGCTACAAAGTATTTCTTTTGTATAAATGACTAAGGGTGGATGTGCTTGATCCCACATTGCTTTGTTTCCAGTTTTTATAATGAGCAGTGTTACCAAGAACACCTCTAGATCCATAGCATTTACGCACCAGTTTAGTGGATGCCTTGGCATATACTCCCATGAGCACAATTACTGGGTCAAAGGCCAGGACGTTTGTAAAGACTCTGGAAGCAAGTTCAGTAACCTCATAACTGTCCTCCCCTCCTCCAGATGAGCCAGCCACTCATCCGTCTACCTGCCAATGCTAGGGAAGCTGGCCTGCGCCCAGTTTTGCTCACATGGATAATGGACACCAATGGCTCACTGTCTGTGAAGCCAGGGAAGCCATGGGGGAGCCCAGCTCTGACTCTGGCTGCCCCCACCCCCCATGGTCTAGTGACCTCAGCTACCCTCGGTTCCCAACACGGGACCAGGGCTCAGCTGACCACCTTCTCTCCCATTTGCGGCAACGTGAGAACAATAAAGTCGGTGACATCAGTTATCACAAATCAAGCAGCGGTTGGAAGGGCAGCCCTTTATTCTCCAGTCTATGCTCTTCCTCCCTGGGCGGCAGGGGGGTGGTGAGGATTACTGTCTTTCGTGGAGGGACAATAATTGTTCAGGGGAGTTGATTCTGTTCATGGTTCTACCTGGTAAGATAACATGTTGGTCACCTATGTCCATTCCTTCTGTTTTTCTTTCCTTTTAGTTTTTTTTTTTTAACAATTTTACTGGATTGAGAAACCCAAAGTGGGCGGCCCGGTGGTAGAGGGCAGGGAGGATGCCAAACCGACCATCTAAGGTTTAGCCTTCCACCGCCATGGCTGTTCTAGGAGGGTCTGCCCTCTGGGAGAGAGGAAGATTCTCCCAGGAAATCGCCCATCCTGATTCTCCCCACACCCCTCAGCCATGCTCAGTGACATCCTCATCCAACCTCCTTATGTTCCAAGCACCCAGCCAGCTCATGCTGAGGGCCAGGGACTATATGGCTAAAACACAGACTTGGAACATTTCAGGAGCCAGAGAGGATCCTCTGAGCTGGAAAGCCCTGGAAAGGATTTTAAGGTTGGCCTCTGTATTAGTTTCCTATTTCCACTTTCATAAATTACTACAAACTCAGCCTCTTAAAATAACACACATCATTTCTGGAGGTCAGAAGCCCTCAAATCAAGGTATCATCAGCAAGGGTGTGTCCCTTCTGGAGGCTCTACAGGAAAATTTGCTTCCTTGATTTTTCCATCTTTGAGAGGCCGCCCACACTCCTTGGATCGTGGCCCTCCTCCATCTACAAAGCTTGCAGCAGAGAATCTTCCAGTCTCTCTCTCAATCCCCTCTGCTTCTCTGCCACATCTCCTCGGACTCTGACCCCCCTACTCCCTCTTACAAGGAAGCTTATGATTACTATGAGCCCATCTGGATAATCCACGATAATCTCTCCATCTCAAGATCCCTAACTTAACCACACATGCGAAGCATCTGCTGTGTCAAGTAACAGATTTATGGGTTCTGTGGATTAGGACATGCACATATTTGGGGGAGGCGTTTCTTCTACCTCCCACAGACTCCATCATCCTATCTCTGGCAAGAATGGACTTGGGAGGGTGCCTGTGTGGCTCAGTCTTTAAGTGTCTGCCTTCGGCTCAGGTCATGATCCCAGGGTCCTGGGATCGAGCCCTGCATCAGGCTCCCTGCTCCGTGGGAAGCCTGCTTCTCCCCTCTCCCACTCCCCCTGCTTGTGTTCCTGCTCTCACTATCTCTCTCTCTGTCAAATAAATAAATAAAAATCTTAAAAAAAAAAAAAGAATGGACTTGGGAAAAACCAATTTGGACTACAAACCTATGTGCCAAACATAACAAATTTGAAGATAAAGAGATCTAAAGACCCCACCTTTTTAAAGATGGAGAAACTGAAGCCCCGAGAGGAGAAGGAAATCCTTCAAGGTCAGCTGGGAATATCTGGTGCAAGAGTTACCTGGATATATCATACAGACAGTGACCCCTTCTCCTGTTCACCATTGTAGGCCTCGGGCCAATTTCAGCCTGGTATATGGTAAGCGCTCAATAAATGCAGTTCCAATGAGTGACTGAATAAATACATTTGAATTCCATATTGCCTGAGCAGCTCCAGGTCAGGACAAAGCTTCATTTATCTCTATAACCTGTCCCAGAACAACACTAGGCATACAGTCAACACTCAGCAAGCATGTGCTGAATGCCAAGCCCAGCCAGTCCCCAGGCCCTCCCACTACAACACGCTGCTGCCCATCTCTCAGAGAAACAGATACAAAGTGAAGCAGGAAACTAATGTGATTATTTGGGGCACGCAGAGGAGTTGGTCATACGGAGGAAGGGCTGGCCAGATGGACAAGGGTGTCCGTGATTGCTCTCAAGACAGAGGGCAAGGCCCCAGCAAAGACTAAAGGCAAGGGTTTTTTAAATGCCTGCCTCAACTTCTGAGAGTACACACTTACACTCACACACCCAGAGGAATCTGGGATTTCTTCCTTTTGCTGAATAGATCATCCCCAAGCCAGTTCCAGGTACGGGGTGTTACTGATGACTGGTCCATCATTCCAGGGCAGGACTGGCTCCCAAGATGCAAAGAAGGGGCTGGGGGTATGGAGGTCTCCTTGCCACCTGTTCTCCCAGCCACCTGCCCATCCACAGCTACAGGCAGCAAGCCAGAGATGGATGCCTTCTTGTCATTAATTAACACTGGCCCACAGCTTCCTCTGTCATTCCTGGGACCCGCTGCACATTATCACTCACCATCCTGAAACCCCACCAGGACAGGGTGCTCTCAGCAGGATGACCATTTCAAGACCCATCTTCCAGCAGGACAGAGTGAGGTGCCTGGTCAGGGCAGGAGAGGGTAGGACACCTGACACATTCCCATATGAGTTTACCCACTGAAAGGGGTCATTTGAGACCCTCCCAATCTCCTTCTTTCACCCAGTCCAGGCAGGGCTGGCTCTGGACAAAAAGCTCTGATCACCTTCCATCTTAGTATGCTGCATGACTGATGGTGGTGGTGGTGGTGATGTTGATGACGATGGTGTTGGTGGTGGTGATGATGTTCATGATAATGGTGGTGGTGATGTTGATGA